ACCAAATGTGGGCGTATGCAGGGTTGTCAAGTTATGGATACTATTTTTGATTTTTAATCGAAGGTGACATCTCTTAATCGTGACAGTCACAGAACTCACAAAGCAAAACGCAACACTTGAACCCTGCGCCTAGTTTCCTCTCACACAAATCAAGGACCAACTAGGTAGCATAAACATAGGTAATGTTATAGGTTGAAGTTTGCGTAAAATTATTGAATATTTCACTCAAAAATAATAAAACTCATACATAGGGTAGTATTCAATCAATATCTATTGAGTATCTCATTAGTATTTCAGAAACGTTTAGTGATTATACTTTGAAAAAGACATGCTATAAAATGCATTGCCACGAAATTCAAGGATAATTTTTTCTTTTAATGTTTACCCAAGATTGCAATCATAGTATTTTGTACGTATGTGACCTTTAACGGGAAAAATGGCTTTAGTTCAAAGATTTACAATTTTCAGTGGAAGCAGATTACAAGAATTCGATGGAAAACAGTGAATATGCGCAAGTGAATGGCTTGTTTATGTGCCATATTAGTGCTCATTTTCGGCGTAGGTTCTTCAATAAATTTCTCTGGAGTAATGAAATAAGTTCTTTAATCATTAACGACAAGACTGTTTTTCTCAGAACGTAGGGCAGCGGCGCGGTGCAAGATTGGGCGAGAAAAACCAAAGCGCCTTCAACTTTTGAGTATGCAACATGCATATCCATGGAGCACGATTAGTTGCATGAAGGCGCTGTTTCTCCATGTTTTATTCCAAAAAAGATGAGGTTATCTCCCCTTCCAATCTCATGCTAAGAACATGAGCTTTAGTGCAATAATACCATAAGAAATAATACAATTGACTTACAGAACACACGTAGTTTAATGACAGATACTGAAATGACAAAACTGAACAAGAGACTGAGGATATCTTGACTTCAAAGGGATGATAAAGTAGAAAATGTACGAAGTAAGGACAATCAAAACCACTCAAGCTACCATTCTGATGCACACTGGAAAGATGGTCAAAAACTGCATTTCTATGGTAACGGTGACGCAACAGGCGCTATGATCATTTCAACGCCGTGCAAAGCAGTGCTCTTCCATTGTGTCTGTGCGTCACGACTCGCACCAGTGCCACTAACGACGGTAAAAAAGTGTGGTGTAAATTAGAAAAAAGTGTTGTGAATGGTGTATATTATAACTAAGTTAAAGGGAAATGTAAAAAGACGCGTAAAGTCTTCACAAAAATACATGCTAGAAAACTGACGACAGTACCGAGGGTTAATTACTTTATTATCCGGCAGTTTGATCCCCTAAATATGATGTATTACACAATAAAACGGATCGTTTTTGAAGATTTCGAACTGCATACCGCAAATGTCATCATTTAACACAGGCTCAACATGTTTAGGCATTTTGCCAACCAAGATGTTCGTTATACACTCTTCTATTCTCTGTTATCATGATATTCCTTAAAATTTGTGGACTTATTTTAACCATTCTTCTTTCCTGTAGTGGCGAGGCATGAATGATCGATTATCAATATGTCCCCATTTGGAGCTGTGGAAAAAGATCGATAAACAGGGTGTTCGTTACGAACACCCTGTTTATCGATCCTTTTCCATAGGTTTGAATGAGAGATCGATCGATATATCGCAAAAAACGTCACACCAATGCTTTCCTGCATTGCGAATAATATGCTCATATTATACTTTATCGGTCTAATAAAGCTATAATTAAGCTTAACCCCAAGTCCCCGTGGTGACGAGCTTATAAAGAAAAATTTAAGCAACAAAATGGTGGTCCCGGCGTGATTAAAAGAATAGTGAAAAAAGAAAAACGCATTGTCAACCTGTAAACCTATGTGAATGAAGTCCTATCCGCACATGATTATTATGAAGGTAATTGCTATTATGAAGTTGTTTAGTCATTCAATAGTTCTGATTGGGTGTTGCTTATATTTAGCAACAATCAGAATTATTGAATAACTAATTAACTTCATAATGACAAGTATCTTCATAATAATAATGTGGACAGGACTTTATTAACATAAGTTTACAGGTTGCCAATGCGTTTTTCTTTATAAAATTCGTTGCCACGGAGACTTGGGTTGAAGCTTAATTAGCTTTAACAGGGTCTTATATCAGATAAGGTTGACAATATTGTGACAATACTAGGTACGCGCTACGTCTTCACTGGACACGGACGTATTTCACTCCAAGTACTGCTCTGCTATTACTTGCGCTTTTAGTCTCTACTCGTAATCTGAAGAAGGGCGAGGCTCAAGTTTTAAAGTTCCATTCAGGTGCAGGTTATTCCATGCATGATTTTAAAACTTGACGAGCAATGACTGATGGAAATATAAGTACATTCCGTAGAAGTTTCCCAACGCTGGAGGTAAGTATGATCTACTGTCAATGTGTCCTCCTGCTTCATTACGAATGCGCCCTGCGCACACCGCAAGGATAAAGCTTTTGATGGTCGAAGCGTTGTCAGATGTGCAACTTATTCCCAAACCATCGTTATGAAGCTGAAGACAATCAGGTTCGGTACCTATTATTCTCTGAGTTTTTTTAATAACTGGAGTGCACCAGGGAGCTTTGCAGTTATCATGGTTTATCATGGATTGGAATTTGATATTAGACACCATCGGAAGAGGGAATTAACCAATAAATTGGAAGTAAGAAGTACATACATTCAAGTCGCTTTTATGGCGCGCCCGGGCGTTCTGCGACACCTAATCACCATTCTCGTCCATCGATCTAGAGGTCAACTGGTAAATGACATCTTGAAATTGGCATCCTGGGAAGTAAGAAGTACAACGTTGATTTTAAGGGATATATAGTCAGAGAAATTCGGTTACATAAAGTGGTTGAAATATCAAAATTAAATTGCACTGGATGAGAAAGAGGGGTGCAACAACTCAGAGGCACAGCCAAAAGTGAAAAAAAAATATGTCATTTTGAATGTAAGTCTTATTTTGCAGACCTATGATAATTTTTGTCCTTAGATTATTTCTTGCAATGATGTATGCTTCTGCGGGCAGGTATGACCCTCGCTCATCCTAGAAAATCCAGATGTAGGTCAGGACCCAACTGGACGTACTTCTGCTAAACGGAACCAGAGACACACCGAAAAAAAGTCAAGTTGATTTAACATTCTGGATGTAAAAAAGTGTGCGAGAACTTAGAAAATGCTGAATTACCCGCTACAATAATTACTTTTATATTTACAATTATATTTATATCTCTTATGTTTAATTTAATCCTTGTCAATGGATACCTTTGTAAATTTTTAGGTAGTAATGACATATTGCTTGTATTTATATACAATAAATCTAAAAAAAAAAAAAAAAAAAAAAAAATAATTACTTTAATAATGCAAAGATGTGAAACAAACTGCTCTGGCGGGTAATTTAGCAGTTGATAGGTTCTCGCACACTTTTTTTACACCCAGAATGTTTAATCAACTTCACTTTTCTTTCGGTGCAATTGGAGAAGAAGCGGTGAGCTCGTTAGTTGACGGCCGTAAGAATGAATGGGAATTATGAGGGGCCAGTGACGTCAGCGGCGACGACCGGGAACGAAGAGCTTAACGTGGCCGCATTTACTCATGAGCCCTGTACACAACTCTCTTGCAACATTCCCACGGCTCATGAACGCCGCATACACTTGGCGCTTGGTTCCGTTTGATTTAATGTAAAAACCCGCTTTTCCATCTCCCCATAAATGAGTCACGCCCACTTTTACATTTTTTCGTATGGACCTCGCCACGAGCACACCCCATCTTCCCCACACGTCCCTAGTTCCGTTCATCAGCAATATGTCCAATCCAGGGGCAGATGGTCCCATCAGGGCCGCAGACCTGAGGTGGCAATTATTAGGGGGTGGTTGAATACGCAGACTTGGCGGTAGATTTCAAAAGTGTCTCTTTTGTAGTGTATTTTCCAAGGAAAATACAATATTTTTCATTTATTTTTTTATAACAAATGAAAAATTTAGTGCGGTACAAGCTCGCAAATCGGTCGATTTTTATTTATTCTAATTCTTACTTTTAAAAATGTGATACGAACTTTTGAAATATACCCAATTTTCCGGATACAATCTATGGATTTTTTAGTGCTTTTAGTGTTTTTAGTATTTCAGCGTTAGTTTCTGCACTGAAGAAGCTCCACTTGGGGGGTGAAACGCGCGTCTGCCATAAATGTTCAAAAATGAAGCCAGAATGCTCGAGAGTAATTGCATTGTTATTTTGCTATTTAGAGCGGTGAAAACTGGGGGAACGGGGGGGGGGTTAAATTTGGAGACCTAGCGGTAGATTTCAAAAGTGATGACCTCTCTCTTTTTGTGTATTTTTTGAAAAAAAAAAAAAATAATTTTTTATTTGATTTCATTCTTTTTGTACTTTACAAAGCATCAGAAGTGAAGGAGCATCTAGGGGTGGATAAATCGTTAATCCCCCTCAAATAAAGTTCTACTCTGCCCTAAGGAAAAACGCCGTATGAGCATTCGGGAGTTGCCAAATTCCCTTTGATAAAATGTTTACTTTTGAGGAAAGTTATGAATATTTTTCCTTGAAATCTTCAGGAACTTTAGTTTAAAATACGAACAAAATTCTCTGAAAATACATTTTAATGCCAATTTGGCTGGCTTTCATAGAACATGGTAAAATGATTGAGAAAAATGAAATGAATGATTGATATTATTTGTTTAATTTATTTTCGGCTTGTAGCTCGATTATTTTTCCAATCATTTTACCACTCTCTGGAAACTTGGATTCATAAGTTCACCGGGGAATCTGTGTTTTATCAAAGACAATTTGGCAACGCCTGAAGGTTCATATGGCGTTTTTCCATAGGACGGCAGTTTTATGGTCAGAAATTTGACATCCCGGATGGACTCGGTGATAGCGGCAGTGTCATCGGTAGCAGCGGAGACGTGCAAACAGACTAAAAGGCGCAACACCAATCCTGAGACAACATCGCACCGGGTCGCGTCGGAGTGTCTGGCCGCCCTATTTCGAATTTCGCGCGGCGCCAAAAACCGAGGAAGCTATTAAATAATTAGCCGATCATGCGCGGCGTGCTCGGAGCGTTTTGAATCACCGGTGAATTACAAGTAATCCCGACTAGGAGTAACACCCGATCACTCACGACGCGAGGTGGACCGGAATTTCTGCCGCACACGCCGATTCATAGGAGACAGGTCGATTTGCTCGAGTGAATAGTTAAGTGTTTTTCTCCCTCGCTCCTGTATTGCATGAAATTACGCTCGGTTCTCTCTGAACAAGTTCGATTGTGGTGTTTTATGTGATTTTACGACTGTGATAGTGTTGATTCGATGATTTTTGACTCGAAGACCGCACATGGAGACTGGGACAAAAAGTTATAAAGTAAACCCGCGGGATAAAGCGGGAGTGTTCTCGATTGTATTTTTCACGTAAGTGTTAGTTTTCTGTTTTATATTTTTATTTAAAAAATACTTTTAATAATGAAACACGTTTTGAAATTGTTAGGAGAATACAACAAACCTTTTCTGTTCCAAAATCAACATAAAATTCGGGTTAGTTTGTGTCTCACTTCTTATATAACACGAGGAAGCGTATAATTGAATCAGTGAGAACGAAAACACACCAAGTCGGAAAAATGACAATACTCAAGACATATACAAAACTGCACAATAGATGAAGAATTTAGTCCAAGAAAAAGATTTTTGGTGGCGAAAGACAAGCACTACAGGGCATTTTAAAGGTCCAAGATGGAACAGGTGCGCTAACTTTAATGCCCTTTATAAAAACTGACTATCTTCAATGAAAATGTAACATTTTCGAATTATCGAGTTGGTGCGTTTTCGTTCTCACTGATGCAATTGTTCCAGTGCGTAAAAATAGGATTCGAGGTAAAAAATTTACAAAAATTCATAGTTCTGGAACATCTGCCTGTGGGAGATTTTGACAGTTGCCGAAATTTTTGGCAAAATATCCAAAATGGACCACGTTGCAGCATTTTGAAAATTCTTTATGATGGTTTTCAAAATATAAAATGAAAAACAAATCTTATTTACTAAAAAGTCCCAAGTTAGTGTCTCTGGTGACGTAGGGTTGTTCTAACTTAAATTCTTGCATCAAATCCTGCATATTTAGGCACAAACCATTGATCAACAACAGTCATCAATTAATTGATAACATTTACCACTCAAATTGATAGTGTGTAATTAATATTGCTGGCTGCTTGGAACTAGGCACCACAAGAATACGCACTTCATAATGTTTCCTTTGACTGGTCCTCTCTTTTTAACTGTTGATAATCAAAAAACTTCAATGGAGTTTTAGGTAGCTTCTCGACAGTTACAAGCATGCTATTAGTGTATCAAGTGCAAAATATCGTAGATATTTTTTTCCCCTTTTACCAAAAATTACTTTTTTTTAATATTTATAATAAGTTTTAATTTATCAGTCAAAAATACTTATCTTCATTTTGTGTGGCCTCCTTAAAATCTCTATCGTCAATCTGTACAACAGAAATGTCTACAACCGGAAACCAACTATAACTTAGAAAGGTATGATACCAAGCCAAAGCTACTTTAAGCGATTTGTATGGTGTACGAGTAAAGAGAGATGAGTATGCCGCCTTGATACTTGGCATGAATCCCTCTATTCCGGCCTCAAAAATGAGATAAAACGCTCAGTGGCGAGGCGTGAATGATCGATTATCCGTGTTTCCCCATTTGAAGTTGTGGTAAAGAATCGATTATTAAGGTGTTTGTTGCGAACACGCTGTATATCGATCCTTTTCCGTAGGTTTAGATATGAGATCAATCGATAAATGGCAAAGCACGTCACGCCACCGAAAACGCTAATCCACGTGAAGTTTGCACATCCAAGATGTGAACAATGTCAAGAATCGCTTGGCATTCCCGCAAATGGATAGCATCTATTTCATTCGCAGTCACCAAGTTCGAATTCACGATAAACTATTAAAATTTAGGATGCCCGCAAAAAAAGGTTAATTGGATTGCATTTTGCAAAAAGGAACCACTAGCATTGCAATGTTGCTAAGATTGTGCAACTTCTTTGTCTTGGAGGAAGAACCAGATTATCCATTAATAGTTTCTATTTTACTCGCTAAAAACTGTGAATTTAAGACAAAAATTACCATCTAGATTCCATACACTGAAAAAAAAATTGCCAAAATCAACACATGAAACAGTGAAAAAAGGTGACAACTCATCAAAATAGATTAAGAACACCGGGTTGACTTTACTAATTTGGTGATTTGTCACCGTATTTTAGCATTTTTTTTTTCAGTGTAGTTTTTCACGATTTCCGCAATTTTATTGCAAAGGATGAAGTTGGACAATCTTAGCATCATTGCAATGCTAGTGGTTTCTTTTTGCAAAATGCAATCCAATTGTAACGCACGGAGTAAAGTATTAGGTTTTAAGGACTGAACTTAGCATCAGGAGAACCTAAGTTTTTGGCTTGGGTAACCTAAGTCCTCGATGGTAGAAATCGAAATTGGTCCCGGTATCTGAAATCTTCAGGAAAAAATGTGAATCTCGTGATGGCAAAAAAAAATTTGAACTTTTGTCACGACCGTAACTTTGGTTGCCCAGGCCAAAAACTTTAACGTTTCATGTGATCCAAAGTTATTTGTGCGTGCGTACAATAATGGAAATTGATAAAATGAATCGCCTCTATATCTGCGGCACACGCCATAATCGTCTAGGATTACACCCGTAGATTCTGCCAGCTAATAACGGCTGATTCTCCGTGACCTAGACCTACAGATAAGAATTGCTCTTTTATACTTTTTTATTGCATTCTTCAGCACCATGGTGTAGATAAGAAGCCTTTGACGTGACGCCTATGAATACAATAGAGATGCCCATCTTAAATCTATGAGATTTAAAACGAACGAAAAAGTCGTTCTTCACTTTACGAATCTCTGCGATATGTAGAAATATTGGTATCATTTGTTGATTTTTTATCAATTTTGTTTAAATTCCTGGGTATAAGGTGGCTATTTTCTTTGCGTGCCTCAGATATTTTGGAATCAGCTTAAAAATGAACGAAAATTCATTGATACTCTGAACAAAATTGACTTATTCACAGAAACCTTGCTCAAATGTTGGCATTGTTGCACTGGCAGCATATTAGAGATGTGATGGGCATGTTTCGGTATGCTATGATGTGCTTTTAGGCACGCTTTAACATTAATAAACAATCCTTGTAGCGTATTCCCACCCCCCAAGTACGTTCCGTAAAACTTACGTCTTGAAGTTAAAATTATGCATGGAACTTGTATTGTGTGAAGTCTTGTTTAGAAAATAAAAGTGAAGACGAGTTTTTAGGTTGACAGACTCTGGAGCTGAAACTATGAGATATGCTCCCACTTATTTCATGAAATGCTGGTTAACACAAAAATGTGGACACCTTCAAAGCTTTGCCTATCTTTCCTCACCTACATCTGAGTTTCAACTAAAGATATGACATTTTTGCTCATCCTATTCTTATAACAAAAAACAGTGCCTATGATGTAGACGTGTATTAGAGGGCGAGAAAAAGAAAGGAAATAACCGATTCATTCAAAACCTTTGAGGAACAAGTTCAATTCCTGATAAGCAACGCGTGTAGTAAATGATTATTACTGTCTCATCTGATACGTGCTCTCGTTCATATCACTGCAGCAAAGGCATCCTTTGCTTCGTCCTACAAATTTTCGTAACAACGTGAGGTTAAGAACGCATTCGGCAGGTATGAATCAATTTTGAGTAAACAGACACCAGTTTAAATGGTAGCACTTAAAAATTCATTAAAATGAAGGAGGAATAATAAATCACAAATCAAGGGGTACTTTATTAAGGAGCCAAACAGAGCCAATTCAAACTTAAAACAAAATAAATACTAAAAACAATCAGAATAGCATGTAAGATCGGCATAAACTCATTTTCAGTCTACTGGTTTATCAACGGTCGAGTTCATTCTTAAATCAAGTTAAATAAAATTACTTTTGCTCTTGGTGGGAATCGTATATTAAATTGGATCCGTTTTTATATAATTTCATCCAATGCTTTGAATGTCAAGAATAGATAGCTATCGATTAAATTATGTCCAACTACAACATAATCTCTGAATCAGTTTATGTTTATCAAAATATCTTTCGTTGTGGGCCAAGTGAACCTTCAATGACCACTTCGCAGAAGTAGAAGACCCGAGTCATCACTCGGAACTTAAAATCAGCTAGTAGACCGAGGAATTAAAAATTCGCCGATCACCGGAAAAATATAAAAATTGGCCCGGTGGATTTTTAGAAATTTCTGGGGTAAAATATAAAAATTTTGGAAGTCAGGCAATAGTGATGATCGTGGAAAATTACTCCCACCGTCATTAACTTATTTGCAGCACATGTGCACAATGAAATTGAAAAAAAAGGGCCACATGCTGGCTGCATGTCGATGCCTTGACGCATTCAAAAGCTGTTGTCACCAAACTTCTGCTCCGTCTCATCGATGGAAAGCTTTTTCGAGAAAGGAAAAAGCGGCTCGATCTCCTTTTTCGGTTCGACCAAAAAATGAAATCAATTGCTTTTCCGCATGTGTTTTAACAGAAATGTGGACGGAAAATTTTATTTGGCGGTTTTTTCCCGTTTTTATGGAAAACTTGACGTTGTAGCGGGTACACCAGGATACCTTTTCCTTCCTATTTGGTAGTAAGTAGGTTGGTAATTCAGCGGCACATGCTGGAAATTTTTGGATGTATCATCGTCACGAATGCAATGAATGATCTCTCTAATTATGGCTTCTGTCTAATTCGTTCACCTTAATGCAGAAAAAAATTAACCCCGACGGATAAACTTTCCATGGTGAAACTTGCACGAGATTTCAAATCGAAGTAAACGCAGTGGTCTCCGGTAAAGTTGGTTATTTGTCAATAAGTCTGTTGCGTACAAGATAGACAAATGCATAGAATTCTTGTAGTAGAATGCAAGTACCATAATCCAAACGTCACGATGAGCAGGTCAATAAAAGTCTGAAATCTACTTCTTAACGCAAATATCGTGTATAGCATCACGAATTTTAAAATTTCCCGCGTCCACGGGAAATTTTTCTTCGTCATGTCAATCAAGTTCCCTCAATTAGCGATTCAAAAGAACCTGACCTACATACAAAAACAAGCTCTTAAAATATTGACAATGTACCTCAAGCGTGCTTTCTGTCGTTTGAAGAAAGTATTTTTTCGTTTGCTTTTTTCAAAGCAGAAAAACACATGCTTTCCGCCCAAAATAACTTGTGAGAGGATTGATAACAGTATAACACCAGAAGTATTACTAAACGTGTCTCTCGTGAACGCAGGAGATTTTAAAACGCGTGGTACAACTGAACTACATTTTGCGATGAGGAAATAAAATTTCTGGGTCAGTTTAGAAATAACATGCGCACCATTACTTTTCCTATGCACAAAAGTGTTTTTACAAATGAGCCAGTTTCAGTTCCGAATTGCAGAATGTTGTCCAATTTACGCACATTTTTCGTCCAGAAGTAACTTTCAGGATTTTTAACATGTGCCGCATTGTGATTTTGGATGATTTTACCAGTAGTAAGTCTACTTATTTGTCTGTACCTCCTGAATATAATGTACCCATTCGAATATATGTACATCAACCGATATTTATTAAAGTGTACTGCTTCGCCCAAGATGCATTAATTTTAATGGATTAAATTGGAGGGAAAATTGATTTTTTCAACTCGCAGAAATCGCCACTGAATGAATAAGATAGGACGAAAGGTGTGGAAGATCACTTCTACGAAAATTTCAATAGTCCCCGTAGTCTAATGACATCAATAAAGTATTATCGTCGGATGATTCAAGCCTTCCAAGAGTAAATCAATGATTCTCAAGTGCTCTTAAAGATAGTGGTTTCCCACGGGGTATGGAGAAAAGTATAACAGAGGATTTGTACATCGATTAACATGGAAAGTTTCCTTAATAATTTTCGCTGCTCAATAAATCCATACAGATCTCACCGATTCTTTGTTGATAGCAGCATTGATCCCTTTTACGAACCAAAGAAGTGTTGATTCTTGCGGAGCTAAGTGAGAGTATGCCATTCCAGGGGACCAACATAATTTGAAGATAGATGTGCGTAAATGTTGGCGATTAGACCTCTTTGATGAGTGTTAAATTTACCCGACTGTCACTGATGGACTAAACTGCCGCGCTAAGGAAGAACGTAGTATGAACATTTGAGAGTTGCCACATTTCCTTCGATAAAATGTTCATTTTCGAGGAAACTTATGAAGATTTTCCTTTGTAATTTTCAGGACTTTTTGGTGGAATTGTGAGCAAAATTATCTGAAAAATAGGAAGAAAAATATTCATAGGTTGACCAGAAAATTCGAGTTTTATCAAGGCAAATTAGGCAACGCCTGAAGGATCATACGATGTTCTTCCCTAGTGTGGCACTATAATTGCAGATATTCTGCAAGGTCCTAGGACTCACGATAAGGGAAATTAAAGCCTCTATAGAATCTCAAGAAATATAATAATATTCCTTATTTGTCCGAAACTTTGTGGCAGGCGCCACAGTCAAAGTAAGCGCTAAAAATTGATCCCATTTACCACCATACTTATCAGGAATTCATCTTTGTGATAGGATACGATCCAGTTTATCAGAGAATACAAATTTGGTTGAAATCTTTCGGAATCGACACAACTGGTTTTTATTCCTCAATTTCAAAGTTATAGCGTTGAATATCATTAATATACGTTATGAATCACGCGGTTTACGCTTGAATTTACTTGCAGGATAGCTGTTTTGTTCTTACTGTCATTTCTTTTTATAAGAATGAATTGGGTCAATTACAGAAGTAAATTATTGCATAATGTGTCGGCAAATTGTCATGATGACAACCTCAATACTTGGGTCTTTCTTGTGCTCAAGACCGAATTCGGAACAGAATCAGTGGCCCTGATCATGTTTATTGTACAATCGAATGTACCTATCCATGATCGGTCTAACTGCACTTCACATGGCTGGTTTATTACATTTTTTCTTTTCTTTTTTATTCTTAAAAAAAAAAAAAAAATACGAATTCTACAACCTTGTAAAACTGCACTGAGCAAAAACGAACAATTGACTCACATATTTTATTTTAATATTCAATTTTAATATTCTCTGATATGTTTCTTTGCTTTGTCCAGATGGCTATGGGACATTTTCAAACAATCCTACTCGAATGTTTTGGGACTAAACGACATATCCGATCCGCGGAGGCAGGATCACGCCGAGTATTTGGGAGACCAGCTTGAAGCGTAAGTTTGTTTCACTTTTTTTTAAAAAAAAGCAATCTTACAGAATGCAATCTGGTAGAGTTTACAACCTTCAGATCATTTTTTTCATTATTGTGATTCAAATTTAGCACCAACTCTGTCAGGACTGTCATGCACGTTTCAATTACAAATGTGTCACCTTTGTCAGCGCAGATAGGGATCAGTTAAAAATGCGACCAAAAGGATGGTGTTATCATTGAATATATTGGAAATTGTCAATATCATGTGCATGCTTGCAGCAAGTGTGATGATTATCAAGGATCTTAATACAGTATTTCTATTGCACTAAAAAGGCTAAGTCACTCGCAGGCCGGATTTCGACGGTGAAAGTCGGCAATCACATAACTCGTTTGCGGAGTCTGAAAATCTCCGCCTGTACGTCATTTTTATAAAGGAGAACAAATTGATATTATTTCTTGAAGTTTTTGCAGAATTTTCTTCGCATTGAGAAGAAAAATCATGACAGTTTTAAAGAATTGCCGTTGAGTAGTTTTCCATTTAAAAAATAAAGTACGACAGGAAGTCTGCGACGTCGCAAACCGAGTTATGTGATTGCCGACTTTCACCGTCGATTTACTTACCTGCCACCCATGCTGCCGTCCTAAGGAAAAACGCCGTATGAGCATTCAGGCGTTGCCAAATTTCCCCTGGCAAATCACTAACTTTCAGAAATTTTTTTGAATATTTGCCTGCCAATTTCTTAGATAATTTTGTTGGTAATTTGATCTAAAACTTCTGAAAATTTCAAGGAAAAATATTCATAATTTTCTTCAAAAATAAACGTTTTATCGAAGGAAATTTGGCAACTCTCGAATGTTCATACGGCGTTTTTCCTTAGCACGGCAGCATGGGCCACCTGTGTTTTGCCGCCCCTTCTCATTCGTTTTGAAACATCATTAAAAGCAATAAACATCAATATCAAACAACAAACATTAAGGAAGTAAACGTGCCGGAGGGGGAGGGTTGCATAAGACGCGTTTACTCGTGTTGGACACATTTTTATGCGAAAGCCCTGTCAACACTACTAGCGAAATTTCACGGAACTCGGCGCGAGAGTTAAGTTCCGTAAACCTATCTCTGTGTGGACAAGAACTTCCATTCATATGAAATGAACGAAAAAATTATGAGAGAACAAACATAAATGTGGTTTAATAAGCTTAACTTCCGCCGCCGCGCTGCGCTGACCGCACTGTGTTTGGCGCAATGCATGAAGTATTCCTATAGTCTTGTATACGGTATGGGGTTTAACGCCGACCGCCGCGCCACTGCACGCACTGTGTTTGACGCAATGCGTGAAGTATTCATGCAGCCTTGTAGGCGCTATGCGTTTCACGCCGCCCGCTAGCGGGCGGCAGCGCGCTGCTGACCGCAGCGACTGCACTCACTGTCTATGACGCAATGCGCGAAGTTTTCATGCAGTCTTGAAGGCGCTAATATGTGGTACATGCCGACCGCCGCGCCGCGCTGAGGGTTTCTCCTTTTCATTTCAAGTTCTCGTCATCGTTGCTCTCTGCGCCGCGCCGTTCCAGGTCAAATTCCGTGTTCGGTTTCTCGTTTTAACTCGACTAATTAAAGGTGCTATCTATTGTATCACAGAAAGACGACAAAATTAGAGGTATACTCTCAGGAAATGAGGGATTTTGTCATCTTTTCTCGTTTGTATTTTTTTTTCTAAATCCGATGTTTCTTCATAGCTACATTCAAAAAAATTGCGAAATTTTCCGCTCCCTAAATTTGCCGCCATGGGCCGCGGCCCATGTGGCCACCCCCTAAATCCGGCCCTGGTCACTCGGAAAAAATGAGGGCATGGAATATTTTCTCGTGTCAAAACCAGAGTTGAGTCACAGAACTTTCCTTCACACGAGCTGAACACGAGCTGTTTATAAGAAAAGCCAAGTTTTCGGATCTGGTAACCCAAGTTTCCGGTTATCGGAACTATTTGCAAAATGAATTTTCCACTGAAGAAGTATTAGTTAGTCAAGAAAACCTGAATTACCTGAACCGAGAATCCATACATTCGGTCTTCTCGTCTTAAAACTTCATTGTTCGGTGTGAGTATTAGTTTTTTACCAGGGTAGTTAGGTGAGACATACTGGGAAACTATAAATGAACATAGTGAACTTATAAAGTGGGACAGGGAGTTTATCACGCGGGACAATGGGGGAGGGGGGGGGCGACAAATTGTCAGACTGTGCTGTGCCCTGATTCTTCGTTCTTTAATTTAGAAGTTGAACGAAAAAGTGTATTCTAGCCAGCAAGATAGGCTTGATACTTTAAAACTGCATTTTCAAAATTACATGTTTTTAAGATAGAAAGATGCGGCAAAATTTTATAATTTTGTAATTATATAGCTCCTCTGGTACTTGATGGTACTTTAACATATTTTCAGTAAACGGCCGATAACTTTTCAATCACTCTGTCTCTTCCAGGTCGTGGAATGAAGAACTCAAAAAATATGAAAATCCTAGCCTACTACGAGCCATCGTGCGGGCATTCAAAAGAGATTTCAGTGTGATAACTGCACTGCACCTGACAAATGAGCTATTTTTGAGGTAAGTCCACCATTGCTTCACTTTTGTTGAGGATTTCTGATATTAAAATAACAAAACATACTTGTAAAGCCAGTTTACGAAGAGGACTTGCTTGGCTGTTTGATAATATCGACGGCGTAAGTTCGCAATCACATATCGATGGTGAAACTACCAAACCACGTATCTCGGTATGCGACGTCGCAGACTTCCTGATATACTTTATTTTTTAAATGGAAAACTACTCAACGTCAGTTCGTGAAAACTTCCGTAATTTTTCCTTTTCATGAGGAAACAAATCTGTGAAAATTTTAAAGAATGATATTGATTTGATCTCCTTCAAAAAAATAAAATGTGAGTGGTTTTTAAATACCGCAAACGAGATACATGGTCTGGTAGTTTCGCCGTCGATATCATGTTTACGGTGTCTGAAAATCTCCGCATCTATGTTATTTTTTTTAAAGGAGAACAAATTGACATCATTCCTTGCAGTTTTTGCAGAATTTTCTTTGGACAGAGAAGAAAAGTCACGGCAGTTTTAAAGAATTGCCGTTGAGTAGTTTTCCGTTTAAAAAAAAAAAGTATGACAGGAAGTCTGCAACGTCGCAAACCGAGTTATGTGATTGCCGACCCACACCGTCGATATGCATTTTTTTTCTCGACTAATCGTTACTTTGTATGTATTGCAAAGACTTCTTTACACTGATTATATACTTTTGAATTTCTCCACAGTTTTTGTAAACCTTTCTTCTTGGGTATGCTGCTGTCTTACTTCAAGGAGAATCCAATCATTTCAAGAGAGCATGCCATGATCTACGCGGGGTTGTTGATTTTCACAACTTGCTGCACCACACTCATTATGAATCACTACCAGTTTACGAGTCAGCATCTTGGGCAAAGAGCCTGTGCTGCAGTTATCTCACTCATCTACAGAAAGGTAAATTTTACGTTAAAAAATGCAACCTATCGTCCGTACCGTATCAACCGGTCGTGACTGCAAGCAAATTTGGGTTTTTATTACGATCGAGTAAAAACTTATACCACTAGCTACTAACCACTAACATCATTTTTATCGGTGCAATCTAATGTGACAAATTAAGCGGATACCTACCAAAAATAGCCAGCTAAAGCAACCATTGATCTCGATGGAGTTAACGCTTTAAGATAAAAAAGATCATACCTAGTCAGGAAATTTTTCTGAAGAAAAAAACAACAAAAATTGCTTTAGGTATGACTTAATTAGTCTAAAATTGAAATTCAGTGAAGTACCTGAATTTCAAACATTTTCTCCTGCCAACTACACTCTTTGGGATATAAATGTCAAGCTTAAACGCACATTTTTAGAGGGTGACAGTGAGTAAATCAGATGGGTCTGTTATTTTTTCGAATGGAATGTACAATTTTAAATTTGATCGACAACTAGTGTCCATGCCAAACTAATATACACTCCTTTACACTGCGACGGAAGATCTGTCATCTTCATTTTTCCATTTACTTTACATGTAAAAGTGACGTCAGACGATCTTCTGTCGCAGTCTAGAAGTCGGTAAACTTATTTGGCATGGGCTCTGTTGGATTGATATCCTTCATCCGTAAGTTGTAAATGGATACAAAAGGATATCGACGGTGAAACTACCAAACCACGTATCTCGGTTTGCGACGTCGCAGACTTCCTGTCATACTTTATTTTTTAAATGAAAAACTACTTAACATCCAGTCTTGAAAATTTCTGTGATTTTTCCTCTTTGTGCGGAGAAAATTCCGTGAAAATTTCAAGGAATGATATTGATTTGGTCTACTTCAAAAAAATAAAATGTGAGCGTAGATTTTTAAACACCGCAAACGAGATACGTGGTTTGGTAGTTTCACCGTCGATATTCTTTATTAGATTCCTCATTATATTATGATTTCCAGGACCAACACTAGATTTTTTGATCAGTGGCAACACACGGAAAAAATGAAATTGCTGATTTAACCATTTTGTAGTTAAAAAAAGTGTCCGACGTGTTTCAATGTTGTTGTTACAATAGGAATAGGCTACATTAACCACCCCCGTGGTATTCAAACCCACCCACAATTGTAAAATGTACCTTTGAAACATGTTGAACATATTTTTTAACAATTTGACTGTTAAATCAGCACAATTGGACTGCATTTTGCAATTTGGAACTATAAATTCTGGCCCGGTTTAAAAACAACGTATGTGTCATTAGTTTCCCTATGCTTATAAATGTTTTTTCAGATGAGCCATAATTTATTGCTCCAAATTGCAAAATGCAATCCAATTATTGTTTCCAAGCAGTATTGTACTCATTTTCAAGCTTTTCACCACTGAGGTTACGAGATTAGCTGTCACAAATATAATTGATGCACTTTAGTTCTTTCATTTTGTGTATTTTTGCAGTGTTTACGGATAGACCGGAGTGCACTGGGAATGTCTGCGCCGGGCCAAATTATCAATCTCATGTCCAATGACGTGAGCAGATTCGAAATTGTCTCAGTCGTTCTGTCGTTCATGTGGTCGGCGCCTATAGCCAGCGTAGTTGTGGCGTACTTTTTGTTTTCACTCGTTGGATATTCGGCCTTCGTCGGCATGGCTATAATCTTCATCGTGTTACCTATACAATGTAAGCATATTTTGGTAAAAATGGTTTAAATATTGTAAATTCTATCCTGAAAAAAACTCGGTTGCAGGGCTGAGCAGCAAATGGTATTTAAAAAAATTTTCAGTTTTCACCGAAAATTTTTGGTCACTGGAACCGAAGTTCGATGATCTGGACCAAAGCTCAGTCTCCATAACCGACAATTTTGGTTATCTGGACTAGAAAAGTTCGGTGTGAAACATAAGCTGAGCCTTTTTTCTCCGCAGTTTGAGTCTGAGTTTAGACTATCCCTCCTTATGGAATGGCGTGTTTTGAGATTTATCGATTGATCTGTCATTTAAACCTATAGAAGAGGATCGATAAACAGAGAACACTTTAACAATCGATTCTTTACCACAGCTTCAAATGAGAAAATATTGATAATCGATCATTCACGCCTCACTACTGATGATGTTGGTTCAAAAAATAGGATTGCACAGTGATTATTCTCTATTTTGTTGGGATTTGACCAAGAATAATATATTCCGCGAACTGATCATCATGAAGAGTCAGAAAAAAATGGTACAAAATCAAAAGTCATCCCGATTTCATTTTTGAAATTTTTCTCTAAATTTTTTCTAATTTTTCTTTAAATTTTTCTCTTTGAGATCAGACTAATGAAAATTGTTTAATATTTGATTTTTCTCATTATTTTTGCAGCTTATTCGGGAAAATTAACTTCAAAATACCGGTACCAGGTGGCGTTGCGATGCGATGAGCGAGTACGGCTCATGGATGAGGTTATTGCTGGTGTACATGTGATAAAGATGTACGCGTGGGAAAAACCGTTTTCAGCCCTAATGGAGTATGCGAGAAGGTAGACAAATTGCTCCGATACGATTTTCTTATAGAGATAAATGAATTAAGTGCTTGTACTTACAAGTAGTAAATACTTCAGTCAAATAATTTTTTCCAAAATATTTTGAATGGATTGGTTAAAACCATATTTTAATTAGTAAATTCCGTAAAAAAAATATTCTCCAGGTGATTTGACCGCTTAAATGTCTACGTGCCTAATAGTTTAGAGCTAGTGACAGTGAATGATGCGTTAAAACTAAAAGGAATTGCAAAAATATAATTTTCTTTTGGTGTCTAGCATTGTCTAAGATCAAGAGAAGACAATGTGAAAATTGAAAATTCAACCAAGTACAATTAATATGAAGAACAAACCAGCTATTGAGGCTTATAAAGGGTTTAAACCGCAAACCTAATATTTTATCTAAAATGAATCCCCTACATCAGAATTTCAAACAATCTCTGACGCTATGTTCCCTAATCATAAATTTCCAAATCACCTCCTAGTTTCATGTTTTTAATTTATTTTTTTGAATTATTATCCTCTCTAGGATGGAAGTTAAGATTTTGCGAAAAACTTCCTATCTACGAGGATTGTATATGACTTTTAATATTTTCACTACACGAGCTGCAATGTTCGCAACCCTGGTTTCGTTTGTTCTTATGGGAGGCACTCCATCTGCAGATGTGGTAAGTTGATCGTATTCTAAGGCTCAAATTCTCATTAGTATCTAAGTTTATCACTAGATCGTGTCAATTAAAAGCCTAATAGGAGGACACATTACATAAAATTGGCATAGTGATTTTTCACTAAAAAGCGAAACATTTGAAAAAGAGAAGCACTGACAATTCCAGTAATTTATCTAAAACTACTGAAAAAGACTCACGATTTACAAATTTTTCACCATTGTGTTACACATTTTCTTTCTTCCAGATTTTTGTGGTGGCTTCCTATTATTCTATAATTGCTCAAACAATGACCGGTATGTTTGTTCGAGGCTACGCCGAAATATCAGAGTTTCTGGTATCAATAAGAAGACTTCAGGTAGAGTTGAATTTATTCCCTCAATTTAATCCTTTTTTTTTTGACGAGCCGAATGTAGAAATAAAAATCTGAGTGATTACTATCTCTTTCTTCCGTCACTTAACACTTAAAATTAGAGCATGGTAGAAAAACTTCCTTCTTTTCCAAGTTTTCAAAAATTTAATAAATAAGTGCTATACCATTGGTATCAAACGCTGCATCCGATTAAGATGCTCAGTGTCCAGATGGCTCATAATGACACGAAAGGAAGGCTCTCAGTTCCTTATTGCACAATGTTTATGAGGGGCCTAAAGGGCAAAGGGGCATAAGTGCAGTTTTGAAACGAATTGAGATATTAATGCATATTCTATGAAAAAATCGCTCTCAGCTTGCAATTTTTAAGCATCAAAAAGTCAGTTTGAACTTTCTTTTTGCCACAAGGATCCATGTAATTTCAAAATTTCAACTCGTATTTTTCGAAACAGCAAAAACTGCACTTGTGCGCCTTGTCCTCCAAGCACCTCATACATCATGTACATCATTTTCTAAATAATTTAAGATGGCATCAATTGATGGCCAATAAACTATCTGTAGGTTACCATCACAGAAGAAAATTGTATATAATTGCATATAAATAAAACCTTAAGGACTTTTTGATGATCCCACTTTGAAAAATATTAGAAGTCCAGAAAATTTAATGGTCCATAAGACCCTGGTGGCAGATTTGTTTTGAGGACTAGGACTAAGGAGGTAAGTATTTGGATATTTCTATCAAGTTTGCAACCAAATCCTTCCTGATTTTTTAAAAAAATTCCAGCTGTGTAGACTGAATAAAATTACTAACTAACTAACTAAATTAAACTATTCAATTTTGTATCCTAGAAATTTCTTTTACTTGAAGAGTATCAATGGCGTGGAAGGATTGGCGACGTAGACGCCTCGAAAGCGGGTCGAGTCGAGATGGAAAATGTCTCAGCCTGGTGGAGCAAGCAATGTAACGAGGCAGCTTTGAGTTCTATTGACCTATCGATTCCGAACGGCCAGTTGGTCGCTGTCATCGGTCCAGTGGGCGCTGGAAAAGTATGTTCAATTCACTATTAAATATTTTTTTTTATTCAGAACAATGCCAACCTAAATTTTGACACATCCATTAAAGATCATCCACTTAATTAAAGATCGACATTTTTCGTAATTTTCCTTACAATCAACAAAGTCTGTAAGGCTGTTAATAGCCTCAATAGCTCAATGCCTCTAAACAATGCTACCTAACTAACGAACTATTTAATGTTGCGACATGAAAGCATGGACAACTTAATGTATTTAATTCAATTCTTGTTGGGAGATTTTAGTTCCCATTTCATTTCATTAATCCGAGAACTTAAGGAGGGATATTCAAAATTGTCTGCATTAATAGATGTTTTTTCGGAAGACGTTAAGTAGCACGAAAAATCATTTTCGGTCATTTTGCTCAGTTTAACACTACTACGAAGAAATTATCGTGTGTCTTCACGCTATCACCCGGCGATTAACTGGATTTCTTTCAGCAATATGGAGCTACTATTTATGGCTCACCCGTTCAAGCATGTATCTGCACAAGGAAACTAAACCAAACGGACCTCATGCATCGAATGCCGTAAACAATAATTATCGACGGTGAAACTACTAGACAGTGTCTCGTTTGCGGTGTTTACAAATCTACTCTCTCATTTCCTTTTTTAATGGAGAACAAATCAATAAAATGTTTTGAAATTTTCAGTTTTCCTCGGACGGAGAGTATTGACTTTAAAAAACTTGAAAAAGTATGAAAAGAAGTCTGCAACGTCGCAACCGAACCGTCACCAACCGAGATACGTGCTATGCTGCCGTGCTAAAGAGGAACGCCGTATGAACATTCGAAGGTTGCCAAATTTCCTCATATAAAACACGTATTTTTGAGGAAAGTTTTAAGTATTTTTCTTTGAAGTTTTCAGTTATTTTCGATTAAATTGTGAACAAAATCGTCTGAAAAGTTCGAAGAAAAATATTCCCAGTAAATCTGTTTTTTTTTTTTTTTTGGGGGGAGGGGGGGATACGGCAACGTCTGAGGGTTCATACGGCGTTTTTCCTTAGCACGGCAGTATGCGTTGATATGTCTATTCGCAAATTTTACGTTCCGGCTGATGATTAATTCCTTTTTATTTTTTATAGAGTGCGTTACTTCAGACGATCCTACATGAGTTGCCTCTCTTGTCGGGAAAGATGAACATCTATGGAAGAGTTTCCTATTGCAGCCAAGAACCATGGGTGTTCGCATCAACTGTTCGTCAGAACATCTTGTTCGGCGAGCCGTTCAGCCGAAAAAAATACGCTCAAGTCATCAGAGTCTGCATGTTGCAACGGGACTTCGATTCTTTTCCGAACGCTGACTTTACACTGGTCGGAGAGCGCGGTGCCTCATTGTCCGGCGGTCAAAAAGCTCGTATCAACCTTGCCAGGTATGGATTGGTATCCATTGTAGTCGGAAATCTAGAAATTATAAATGTTCTAGAAATATGTAGGATTTTTTGTCAAAGATATTAATATCTTTGATGTTTGAAGATTTTTTCAAAATGTGATGGAGTCACACATTAGACCGTTGCCTACGAGAATGGAGAGGCCGTAACTAGTCAGTTCTGTGACGTCAAGCTAGTAGATATTTACCGAAAACAACAAGCATCTCCGGGTCATCAGTGCATCGATGAGTGAGGCAGTCGCTGCGTGGACCAATCAGAGTGGCTCTCGATCAGCCGAAGTTGCGCGAGCGGCCCGTTTGAATCTGAGTGGAGTAACGATTTTTGGTATTACGCATTCATTTCCTCAATATTTAGACAATGTCACAAATGAACTAGTTAGTTTTCTACAGTGAAATTTCATCCTCTTTCTAAACGGTTCTTATGAAATTTTGCGTCAGATCAACCCTGAAAGAGATATCGGCGAGAAATCATCGCGCGGCAAGGTTCTCCCATAAGAACGCGTGTTAAACCGCGGCCGAGTTTCATCTACTAGTGTGACGTCACAGAATCGTAGTTACGGCCTCTCCATTCTCGTAGGCAACGATTAGACTATATGCATATGAATAAAATCAAAAGGAAGTATGTAGCACAGAAACTTTATGCACAAAGTTCTATTTGATTTCACTCATTTTCACCTAGTTAGTTTTGTCATTAATACGTCCAAGGGATTGCTATTTCTTGCAGCAACTATTCGTACTCCCTTGGTGTCTGTGTTGCATATTCAACAATTGAAGGCGCTTTGAATTTTCATGCCCTTAGTCTCATGTCCTGACGCGAAAATTTGGATAATCTAATCCTTGCTTGAGAGATCCCCCTATCGTTTGTACATTAAAATGAAGTTACGTTGAATTTTCTGGACATTCTAGAGAGACACGCTCGTGGTGCTACATTTTTGTGAGCATTTACTCTCCTTCTCGCTTCGCAATTTTCTGCGTTTGATCAAAGTAAGGCAGAAAATATTCTACACTGTTTTCATTTTCCAGCAAAAAATACTGCAACTGATATGCTGTAGGACTAAAAGGGAGAAAAAACCTTCGTAGATCTAGAATGATTAATAGAGGGCCAAAACTGGGATATTTTTTTTCTTTTTCAGAATAATACCTTGTTGGCACAAGTAAGGAAATTCGATTTTCAATAACTTTTTCGTAATTTTTTCTGAAATATTTATCCTATCCTCTTTTTGTAGAGCTGTGTACAAAGACGCAGATATTTATCTCCTTGACGACCCTCTGTCTGCTGTTGATGCTCATGTTGGAAAACATTTGTTCCAAGATTGCATAAATGGTCAGTAATAAAGCATTCAATGTTTTCTTTTTTGATACAAAATATAATAAATAGATAAATACACAAATAATCTACCTCCGATTCAATGTATCCTCTCGAAGGTTGAAAGCTGCATTTGCTTTCCATGTTTTTAAAAAAAGTTAAAAAGTTGGATGTTAATCTATTTTCTTGCGAGTCAAAACAATTATGAATAAAGTTAGACAAAAAAAATTGGTTAATGCCATAACGATAAAAACCAGTCGAGTGACTCAAAGATCAGTCGATTCCTGTCTGAATTTTTCTTCATATAAATATTTCGCAAATGTAATTACTACGCGGAGGGCCTGAGGGTTTCATAAACACTGTTAACTTAACTTTATTATCTTTCATTGAAGTGGATCTGTCCCTTTCAATAGCTCATATGCCAACATCGTAGCTTGTCCTTTGCACAGGAACTATTTCACTGATAAAAGCCGAATATAATATGAACCGCCACTGACTGCATGGTGTAGAATTTATTCATAAATTTTTGCAGTTAAAATAAAAAAAATGGCAAAATAAATTGAAATATTTTAACACGACCATTTTTTATTTTAACATAGGTTACTTGAACGGTAAAACTCGGATACTTGTCACTCATCAAACGCAGTTTCTGCATCAAGTAAACTCAATCATCAAACTGGAAAATGTAAGTCTTTGAATGTATAAAATTTTTTAATGTAATCCAAATGTAAATTTTAAATATTTTGAGCTGAATTGAGTGCAGTAATTTTGTTTTACGCATCTCAATGATAAACGTAAAACAATTTAAACCAGTTGTTAAGTTGCAAAGTTCATTTTTTAAGTATGTACTTACTTCTAACTGGTTGCTTTGATATTATCCCTCAGAGAAGTGTAGCAACGTTCTATTGTATTATTCACGGACAGTATTGGACCACGTTTCAGTGTTTTCTTTTAATACTTATATTTTTTTAGAGGATTAAAAATCAACACATACTGTTGGTTGATATTGTGAAGTGTCAAATTTATAAAAAAATTTAGAAAAAAATTATGAAAACCTACTTCTCCAACTATTCGTTTTAAGTGAGGCCCCGTAAAATTTGCCTAATATGTTTCCTAATGTTTTAGGGTAAGAAAGAAGCAGAGGGGACATACCAGGAAGTCTGCAAAACCGCCGGAGATCGAGAAAATAACGTATTTGAGATGGAACACGACTTGGAGAAAGAAGAATTTGAGGACAAACCACGTAGACGCTTGCTCTCACAATCTTCCGTTCATGTAAGCTGAAGGTATTTTTTTAAATTTTCATGCAGCATAGCAATTTTGTCTCTCAAAGAACGATTTTGCTTTCGTAATGTTTTCTGGTCATACCATGAACTTTTCATCGTCTAAAGGCATACAGCTTCTTCCATTCTATTAAATTCATAAAAGCTTCAAATGGTCACAAACATCGATCTCAACTGTCAACAAAGTTTCAGTTTAAAGACTTTGATGGCTCTTCAATTCACTGGGATTTTGATCGTCTGATTGTGGAATTGGAGCCTCAGTTTCCAAAGAATAAAAGCTACATTGAAAGAGAGATTTCAATTTTGTGAAACGTAAAGCGGTGTTAAATTTTGACAGCTCTATATTTAGGTCTTTTTTTCTTTTTCTGTTATTTTTCTCAACAAAAAGTATTGGTCTATGTTACTGTGCTCCCAGTTTAAAAAATAAAAATAAAAATACAGCTTTTGCTACTTGATTTGCTATGCAGTTCAGCTTAGCTTTGGTTGTTCTGTTCACTTAAAACAGACTGGTAGAAAAATGCTGGATCCACTCTTTTCAGAGAGGAAATGAAGACCGAAAATCCCAAAAATTTTCATTAGAGTGAAAAATTTGAACTCTAATGGAGCCGAATATTCTCCCCCCCCCTCCAAGACTTGTACTGATACCCATTAGAATTCTAAGTTTTGACTTTAATGACAATTTTCGGAATCTTCTGATCTTACCTCCCTCGCAGAATAGTGTGGATCCAGCCCTATTCTTACATTCTGTTACAGTTCGGGCCACATATTCAGAGTTTTTTTTTTCCTGTTCACATAGAATTTTGAAACAAGGACATCTTCTATTTACCTGAATTTCGTGCCATACCGTCTAGTGGTCTATCTCTCTTCCCTCTCATAAATTTCCATTGCATTTTACAGAGTGTGCGAAGCACACGGACCAGCAACCAATCCACGATGCACGGACAAACTGGTGATGAAGTTTCACTCACTGGCGTAGATATCTACGAATTCGACAATGAACCAACGACCTCGAGCATTGAGGAGGAGCTCTTTGCACTCGAAGCCTACAAAGGCTCAGTCACCTTCGGTTATCTCAACAGCGGCTCCAACATTTGCATGGCCATGCTTTTCATCTCGCTCTTCTTCGCTGCCCAGGCATTTGCCAGCCTTTGCGACTACTTCGTGCCTTTTTGGTAAGCATGAGCATCGGAAAATTAATGAAATACAAATACATGCAGTATGATATACGTGGAGCATAACTGCCGTGATAGTGAAGAGATCAGTGAGTGCAAAAATGAACTTTTGAGAAAACAAGCTTAGAAGCGTCTTACCGGAAAATGTTATTGAAAGGAGCCTTCGTTCTTTGTCAAATTGCCACTAATCATCCAAAAGACTCATAGAGATCGTCTGGATGATGAAAAACTGACCGATTTTATTTCAATTACATAAAAATGGTATTATTCTTTTTCATATTAGGCTACCCAGAAAAAGATAGATTGTGCTGACGACAGAACCTTCTGTTCACAGGGCTCCTGCAGTTTCTTTGTCACATTTACAGAATTTTTCTGTTGTCAAAACAGAACTTCGGTCGTGAGAACGGAGTACTCTGTCCTCATAATGGAAGCTTCTATGACTGTTAGAAAAAAAGTGCAGGAGCCCTGTGGACATAACTATTTTTTTCAGTATAGTGTCAGGCAAGGCAGCCGTAAGTGCTATCTTCTGCGTGCTTTCATGGTTGCGTCTTAGACACACAACAAACCCAAATCAGATTAAAAATCGGCAGGAGAGGGTGGCACTTTTCTTGAAAGCACTGTGTTCATTGGATCTCTGCAGAAATAATGTCACTTACTCCTGTCTTGCCTGAAACTACGTCATTTTATTGCCGCGCACTTACGGCTGTCTTGCATTTCTCGTTTTTAAACAATTAAGATGAATTTTGCTGTTTCAGCTATTTTAGTGATTTCATCTAAAAGAGAGTAGATGAATTTTGAAGGAAACTCGATTTCGAAAATTTGACACTCAAAGCTCTCTTCGCTATCACGCAGATAAGCCGTGTTGTTTTTTCTTGTTTTCACTTTTGAAACTATATCAACGCTCGAAAAAATAGGTCACGTAAAGCTCGCAAAATCCATTGTAGCGTGTTGAAATAAAAGCACACGCTCAGAAAAGCATACTTTTTTTCAGGCCTTCTTGTAAAAAGTTCTGAAGCGACAGTGGCATATAAAAGAGGGAACCAACTTCTCGTTTCAGAATATTCACTTTTTTACGAAAATTTCATTTTTTCAAACTTTTTTTCTCGAAAATATGATCGGGTGACGTGGTGGTTGATTCATTTTTTTATGGCCGGCAGGTCTTCACGCTTCGTGTCAGTAGTTCTAATGAAATGGTAGTCTATAGACGAAGGAAAAAATTCCTCGTTACAAAATGTTCACTTTTTTTGGAAATATACCCTTATTTCAAACTCTTTCGGGAAAAATAATGATTGACGTGAAGATTGACAATACTCTGTCACATTTGGGTTTCTGATTAAAGGGAACTTGTGTGAAAAGTATTACAGAAACGTACACGCACAATTTTTCATCAGAGTAGAGGCAGTTACACTAATTTCTTAGGGCTCATTATTTAACAGGTGTATCAGGTAGAATATTTCAAGCCAGTGGGCTTTCACTCTAGCCAATTTTCTTTTTTTTGCATAACAAAAGCAAAATTTGATATTACCTGATGCCCGTTTGTTAAGTATCAGACCAGCAAAATATCACGCAAAACGTGTTATTCAATAATTTTCTTAATAACTGTAATCTCCAGATATATTTTAATTTTTTTTCTTTTTTGAGGATCTGCTGGCACAAGTTCGTACATACGGTTACAGATTTTTTCTTAAAAACTAGGAAATTATTTCTTATGACACATACACGGGATAATTACTTTTTGTAGTTTGTTCTCAAAAGAAAATGCCACCGCAGGATGCAATGAACTCAAACCCTCCACTATCTCGTCTATCTTTATGCCTTAAATCAAGCATGAAACAAAATCGGTGCCATTTTTATATAATGATGCGCTCTAATTATTTCCAATTTTTTGATAGGGTAGGTATTGAACAGGACAGGATTCATTCCTCAAAGCACTCGAAGGATTTTGACATTCAAAGTCTCTCGGAAGAATCTTTCTTTGAATTTGTCCACGGTGATTTTACTCAATATGTAAGTTTTTCTTTTCATTGACACTCAGACTTTTTCTTATTTTCTAAAACTTAGATTAAAAACTAACACAATAAAATGTGTATCCGATCGATTTCAAAATAATACAAATCGAATATTTGCAAATCGTCTATCATTAATATTTCAAGGTTAATGATAAGGAAATTGTTTTGAATTTTAGGATTCGAAATTTATCGTGTGATAGGATTTTTTAAAAATAACACCTTGTTTTCTTCTTTTTCCCTAAAAAGAGGAGGGATAAAGGAAATAATTAATCAGTTTCAAATTATCATTATCATTAGTTTATTTTTTGTAATCGCCTTCATTTTCTATGGTTTTTTTAGCGCCTGAGAAAGGTATTTGAACATTGCTTCATACATGTTCTACACTTACTATTTTGAAAAAAAATAATGAGTTTATCTGATACCTAAAGAACTTTGTGAAGTATTTTTAAAAAAAAATAAATGATAAGAGTTAAACATAATAATCACCGACGGAAAATAACCGATTACTTTAAAAAAGAGCACTCTTAGACAACACCACAGTCACATTTGTCACATCAATTAGGTTTTGAGGTGGTGAGAATGTTTTAGATAAAATTGCAATCAAAGTTTGAGCCAATTTTCATTAAGCGAGGCTCAAATTTTCCTCTTATCCTACCCTCTAGTTAGTCAGAAAGCAAGCCGCCTCAGGACCGATCAGATACAAAAAAAAATCACGTGACTCTAAAAACAAGGTTAAAAGTAGTTCTTTAACCAGTAAATTGAAAAATTTGTCATTCTTCTCTTAATATTTCTGTTTTTTATTCAAGGTTTACGTCGCCGTGTATTCTGCCTTGGTTGTCCTTCTCTTTGTGATTGGATTAGGTCGCTCACTGGTATTTTTCAACACTTGCATGAAATGTTCAATAGGACTCCATCGGAATATGTTCAGATCAGTTGTTTCCACTTCTTTGAGCTTCTTCAATGCTAATCCTTCAGGTACTTTTTTATTATTTGGCACGATTGGAGTTATTTCAGCTTCAATAGACATTATAACAGATCAACAATCATCGCTGTAGAAAGTTCATTCCACATTGATGTTGAGACCTAAAAATGCTTCCCTTTCATGCTACAGATAAATTGCGCCTCAGTTTAGCATACCCCCTTTTCCATGAGGAATGGGACCAGTCAAGTTTATACGGGATCAAAAGGCCGAAATTTTTTCCCAGGAACTTTCAAGGGGTATATCAATTTATCCATGTATTTTTTTAACATGAAATGATCGTCTAAAATAATATTTTTGCGTCAAATACGAATGGTGAGAAATAACTTTTGTCACAATATCTCGTGTGTTAAGAACAATGACCCTATATCAGCCTGTTTCATTCATACAAATTTATTCATTTTGCCTTTCTTATTCAGGTCGAATTCTAAACAGATTCTCCAAAGACATCGGTGCCATCGATGAGCTCCTTCCAAAATGCCTAATGGACAGTGGACAGGTGAGAGAAACTCTGAATAACTATGCTTAAATTTACACACCCATAAATCACTTTAATAGGGTTGTGATATTCCAAATTTTTCCTCAGACCAAAAATAATTGAGAGCACGCAACTTGACAAAACATTCAGAATTATTTTTTGTTTAATTTTTTTATTCTGGTAAAAAAGAGAGAAAAAGAATTTCGAAAAGTTCTTAAAAGTAATGCAAAAATTACACTCTTTTATGTGACATTGTAATTGTATTGATTTTAAAACTCTCAATAACCCCATGTATAAGTGCACTCACTATTTTATACAGAACAATGCATTCAGAGTTAAAAGTTGACTACGTAATTTTCAATGAAGTTTCAAGCGCCTTTTTAAACATGTGTGGAATTTTAGTGTTCTTTTCTTTTAAGTGCCTACATTCATTCAGAACTAATACTAATCCAATCCCCGCTCCAAACAAATATTATAGTTTCCGAAAACATGACACACAGAATCCTTGAATCCAGCCACTATTCGAACTCAGCTGTCATGGGGTTGCATATGTATTACTTTGAAGGAAACTCTTACAGGCGTTGGTCTCTGACACTTTACATTAAGTTTAAATTAAGATTAGCTTCGTAGGGCTCATACAAAATTGCACTTGGGGGTCTGCATCTTTGCTGCTGTGTAGATTGATGCTATGTCAATGCATATTTTGTGCATTGAAACGATCAAATTGCGATGTTTAGATTCACATTTTTGACATGTCCGGCGCACTTTAAATTCACTTTTGTATTACACAATGCAATAATTCTAAAAAGTGTATGAGATAATAATTGGTCCTTATGCTAGCCCGACACTAAGCAAGATTTTGCAAGTTTTAGGGCTTAAACAGGAATTTCAGACTCATATTGGTCGAATGACTCCTTATGGTCTATCTTGTGTGGATAAAAATGCTCTATTTCGATATCTTTAAAAAAATAATTGTAACTTTCTATGCTAAACTTTCAGGTGTTTACGATGGTGATCGGTTCAATGATCGTGACATTAACGGTCAACCCTCTTTTTGCCATTCCGACAGTAGTGCTTGTCATTCTTTTCTACCAGATTCGAAAATTCTACCTCCACACATCGAAGAACCTGAAGAGAATTGAAAGTTTAGGTACGCTTTTTAACTTAATAATCAGCAGCGAACATTTTGTGACAAAGGCGTTCTTTGGTATGAAAAAAGAAGCAAAAATATTAAAGGTCGAAGCTAATTGTCAGAAATGCCACTCTTTCTCCAAAATTTATCGCTTAATACATGTAAGCCAAAAACAAGAGCAGACTTTTGAGGAGATGCAGATGTTTTCTGCCCTATTAATTAAATTCATCGTACGTTGGAAAATTACAATTTTTCCCCTAATTATGAAAAGACTGATCATTCATTTTGGCCATTACCGCGACGGTGGTGAGGAGAGAAGATGGGGGGGGAGAGGGAGATGTTGCCAGTGACCTTGTGCTCACTTGCACCGTGGTTGATTTCGAATGATGAGCACGTCCAAAGATTTGATTACCTTCTCCTTGATTGTGGTGAAGTTCAAAGTGTTTCAAACTCGTCCGAATTCGAGATGAATGCCAATGAGAACGGAGAGTGTTCTATTCATAACCTGCTAGGTCCGAAAATTTTGACTTTAAAATTTTTATGCACCGATAAGTTACTATAGATAGACATGAAAAACTATTTAATAAGTATTAATGGTACGTGTATATTACTATGTTCTCTACTTGGGGTCGTTCCTAAATTACGTTACGCTCCAATGGGTCTCTGCCATAGCGTTACATGGCGTTACAGGGGGGTGGAGTGTGGAGAGAAGCATTACGCAACGAGTTTCAAGGATTTTTTTTCGAGTTTTCGTGGGATGTTTCGTCAGTCGTCTATTGAAGTTTTAAAGTATCTTAAAAGTGTTCTCTGCGATACTTCCACATTTCCTCGCGTAATGGAAACGCCAATCCGTTCGGTAAATGTATGGTGATCAAGCGTTACGTAATTTTTAGGGGGGTCTAGCACAGCGTTACGGTGCGTTATAGCGGTGTGAAGGTATGAAAAACTGCAAAGGAGGGGTATCGATAAGGGCCTTTTTTGGCCCCCTAGAGCACATCATCTAACTAAAACCAAACCAGGGTTAAAATGTGTCCTAAAGCATTTTTGATAACATATCAAAAGCTCGTTTTAGTTAGACGATGTGCTCGATGTCAAGAAGCCTCGGAGTGATTGAATGAACACGCATTTTTCGCTAAAATGCGCCTGCAGACCTATGTTTAGGCAACCATTTCACACGTATCCTATAGACTAAATCATGATTATTTTCGTAACTACATTGAGTCAACTCGGAAAACCCACATAAATTTCCAGATTTTAGGGGGAGGGGGCCAACAAAACCCCTTACCGGTACCTCTTATATTCGTTTTACGTAATTTAGGGACGGCCACCTTCTCGTAGTGATACAAAATGTCTGTTACTTTTGTTTACGGTTTATTTTATTATTTTTTATTTGTTCTTTCTGTACAGCTAGAGGTCCAGTTTTTACCCACCTGAACGCAACACTGCACGGGCTGCCAACAATCAGAGCTCTCGGAGCGAAGGACGTTCTGATCGCTGAGTTCGATGCTCATCAGGTACGTTCGCAGAAGAGACACCGCACGGAGGGCCAGCAGCCAAGTTTAGCCGGACAAAAGTCCTCAGAGGCGCCTGAACTTACTAATAGGAGAGAATATGTGTTTTTAGGGGTAATTTAGGTCGCTGAATCCATATTTTGGGTTTCTTTTAAGAAATTTTGAAGTTTTTGATGAGAATTATTAAAAAAAATTGCTTTATCAACGGGTAATTAATGCAATTTTTCACTCAAATCTTCAGAGGTACCTGAGTTTGTTTTGTGTGAAGAAATTGGTTTCTGAGGGTTATTTTGGTGAGTAAATTACAGTTTTGCTTTCTTTGTTCAACATTTTTCAGTTTAAAATTCAAAAAATTTGAAAAATGATGATTTATCTCTGGGTAATATATCGACGGTGAAACTACCAAACCACGTATCTCGTTTGCGGTGTTTAAAAATCTACGCTCACATTTTATTTTTTCGAAGTAGACCAAATCAATATCATTCCTTGAAATTTTCACGGAATTTTCTCCGCACAAAGAGGAATAATCACAGAAATTTTCAAGACTGGATGTTAAGTAGTTTTTCATTTAAAAAATAAAGTATGACAGGAAGTCTGCGACGTCGCAAACCGAGATACGTGGTTTGGTAGTTTCACCGTCGATATGGGAAATATATGTCGCGTATTTTTCAGCAGAATTAGCGTTGCATCTCATCTCGCCCAACGAAAATATTCATAGCCCAGAAAACTGCCGAAAACTGCTAGTGAACCAAAGAAATTCCCAAATTTCAAAGTGTGCTTTTACTTAAAATTGACAATTTGAACCCTTCAGACATGTTCAGAAAATTCAGGAGTCGTTTGCATGTCGCGTATTTTTCAGCGTAATTATAATATTGAATCTCATCTCGCCCAACGAAAATACTCATTGCTCAGAAAATTGCAAAAAATTGCGAGTAAACCAAAGAATGTCCAAAATTTCAGAGTGTGTTCTTACACAAAATTGACCATTTGAACCCTCCAGACATGTCCAGAAAATTCAGGAGTCTTCTGCTTGTCGCGTATTTTTTGGCGGAACCAATGAAAATATTGTTTTGAAGAATGCACTTCTTTTGCCAGAAATTAGAAGATATAAAGGCAAAGCCGGAATAAAACCTTGAATTAGAAAATTTTATTCAGAATCAGGCATAATTTAACCCCAGAAGTCGGGCCGCAGTTGTATGGACATCTATAATAACAATATAAGAAGATTAGCGTAGGATAGCGCCATTATACGGCATGCTTGCAATTTGGCAACACTGCCTTTCATCCATATGAACACATCTACGATAGAATCGATATATATCGAAAATCCTAACCTAAAATCGATTTTCGTTAGTGTATTTACAATGAGAAAGAGCATTGATGCTAACATGCAAGAATCGCCAATACCTGGCACGTGAGTGATCCAATATAAGAAATTAGCATAAAATCCTCGATCTTGCGTCACAAAAAAATGCATAACTCACGGTAAGGCAAGAAAAGGCAAATGAACCAATGAAAATTTAGATGTTTAGGATGTATTGAACCACATGGTAGCGGTCCGTAACCTTACAGATCTTTACAGAAAATTGCAGACCTCTTTAAACCTAAAAATTAGGACATTTTCGTGCCCAGTTTTTAATTGTGTGTACCAGACTATACAATGCACAAAATTGATAAAAATACCTTAAAGTAAAATGAAAACATGTTAATCTAACTTGGTAAAACACTCGTTATGTTGGGAAACACTCGAAGGTTTGTGGAACATGACCTTTTGGATGAGCGTTGAACCAAGCCAGCATACAGGATAAATAAACACACCGCACGCGCTCGGGAAAATCTTGGCATCGCAGTCTTATTAGTGATAAGACCCCCAAACCCAGTGATGTACAGATACTCCATGATATACCTTATCGCTCAGTGGTGTCTATTTTCGAATTTTCCGGACAAGCCAAAATGGACTTTTGTCCAGCTAAATTCGATTCCTGGCCCTCTGTGCACCGCCGGCTCAAATCACCCGCAGCCGCTACATGTCTAGAATACACATCAACTACCTCCGGTCTTTCTCATTCATAAATTCTACCGACTCGATGGAGCACTTTAATTTGCGCATTTACCTCATTAAGTTTCGCAATTGATTATGAGTTACTGAAATGAAAAAAATCAACATTTTAGTAATTCCATCAAAAATTGTCGGATTTCTTCTTCTTCAATGAAAAATAGTGTCACAATCCAAACTATACTTCTGGCTGATTTTGGTGCCAGATATAAGAGTAGTTGTACTAGTCAAGGGTATGTTTGATCCAATCACACTTTCGGCAGACTCTACCGTACCTCTGACTAGATCGACTATACTCTTATATCTGGCGCCGAAATCGGCTAGGAGTATATAGTTGGGAATGTGATACCTTTTTTTCCATGTTCGCGCTTAAAAAAAATGAGTAAATAGAGAGATAACATTTAACTATAACTACTGTTGAATTATCCTAGGAATATTTATCAGCATTAAACGAAAGCAAAATGTCTGCCTATATACATTCAATTACTATGAGGAATCCAAAATGCTAATATCTTTCAATGTGCCATTCTTCAACAATCTACGCATTCTACGCAGCTACACATTTTAAAATTTCCTTGTATTCCTGTTGAAAGACAAAACTGAGGGTAAAGAAAATATGCTGGCATTTTAGAAAATTAAATAACTTTTTTATGTTTTGTTGTCTTTCAATTTTGGGTGTTGCCTGTTGCATGATTCTATGTTGAGTTTGTCTTTCTCTTTTTTTGACGAGGAAGGGTGAAAGGACATGGTGTGCGTAGAAGCCAAGAAAAATGTAGTCTGACGTTGAGGTAAACCGGGACAATTAATGAACTACATTTTCATCAATTCAATCAATATGTTTGTTTCCTTTATTTTCAGGATAGACATACATGCGCCATAGGATTATACTCAGGTGGCAGTGTCGGATTCACGCTCATTTTGGACTTTTTCTGCAACATATTCTTGACCATCGTCGTATTTAGTTTCTTCTTCACTGATCGTAAGTTTCTTCTATAAAACAATATTGACTCCTTAAGAATCTCAGATAATGTTGACTTGGTCTAGCTTCCGTGAACTGAAAGGATAAATGAAAAAAAAAATGGGGTGAATCGTTTTATCAAAAATAATACAAGTAGAATGGTCATTGAATTTTCACCGAACCGCACCCTCAATCATCAAGTATTCCTGGTTTTACAGAGAGTTACATGCAGAATAAACATCAATGTTTAGGTAAGAAATTCTAGATGTACCGCTGGTTGAGGAATTGAAAATTAAAGGCGCTTTTAACACCTTCAACAATGTAACTCTACAAAGGTGGTGTGTGGTGTGATTGTGTGAAGAGTATAACCTAGTAATGAAATTGATTCCCGCAATATCACACTACGTTGTACTTATTTGACCTTTTGAGTAAGTTATGGACTTTTTCCCGATATTTTTTGGATAAATTGTTTTTTTTTTTAAATTATCCTTAATGTGTGAAACGATGGTGTTAACTGGAATTTTCTTACTTGAGCATCAAAACTTGGACAGAAAAGTGTAAAACATACATATATTCTGAGGTAATTAACGAAAAATGATTATTAATTTTATCATGAACTTAGAACTTAATCAACGGAATCAGTGATTGAAAGTAGGAAACAAAACTTTAATGACACCGCTTCAATGAGTGATTAAATGACGCGACGGAAAGGAAGTTAATGCATGAATTTCCCATAGAAAATCAATTTAGATCATACATGAAAAATAAGATAAAATAAATTAAGTAAACCCCTTTTGTAGGAATTTTATTGAACATGTCCCTTACTTGGTATTACACAAGAAATGAATGTAAAATGTAAGTAATGAACCGAGATTCTGTGGCTGCTAGAAACTCCTTCAATCTCGAACTCTGCAACCAAAAGTACATCAAAGGTATGCAGATTTAAACTCCATTTTACACGCATTTCCGAGGCAAAATTTACTCAAGCAAGACTGAAAGCGTAGAAGCAATTTCTGTTTCATTTAATTTTTTTTATTTTGGGGAGAAGAAACAACCTTCACAGCTTGAAGTTCCTACAGAATATTCTGAATTCTGCTGACAAAGAAGAGGAATCGAGGAAATTTCTAAGGAATTACGTTGGCCAGCTTTCTCAAGAAATAGCAAAGTATGACAAGAAGTCATGTGGAACGTTGCAAACGGAGATGAGTGGTTTGGCACTTTGGCCATCGATAAGTCAACCACAAATTTAGTTGAAATTGATTTAATTTGTTCGTGAAATATCTCTTAATATCTTCACTTAATTCGTTCGTTTTGACCTGATTTAGAGGCTGACAGTGGAACCGCTGGTCTTGCTATCACGCAAATAATGAGCATAACTTTCCTAATTCAATGGGGGATGAGACAATCCGCAGAGGTTGCGAACCAGATGACCTGCGTCGAGAGGGTTCTCTTATACTCCCAGCTGGAGCCAGAGCCTCAACCCAGATCACCAAGTAAGTAAAACATAAAGGCAATCAATTTATCACGATAAATTTTACCTTCTGGCATTGCCAAATTTCCCAGATTTTTCAGGAAAATCTGTGAATATTTTTATTCTGATGTTTCAGGGAATTTTTCCCCCACAGTTTTTGTACAGTATCTAAAAATTTCAAGGAATTCCCTATTTCTCCTCAAAATGAGTATATTGTCAGAGAGATTTGGCGGTAGTCGAATGTTCATACGGTGTTTTTCCCTAGCGCAGAAAGGTAGACTCCAATATCGTTGGAAGTTAACCCTCTATGCCATAAATTAATTTTGGATCTCAGATTCTAGGGTACACTAATCTATTTCGTAACTTGCATTAAAAAAATGGAGTGCCATTTATTCAAAATTTTAAAGTTAAGGGAATCGATTTTTCAAAAAAAGAAAAAAACTAATGAAATTTTGCAAAATCATGGCACAGGGGAAAGACTCAATTTTTAAAAATCCCGAAAGTACGTTATTATGATTTCGTAACGCTATGCCATAGAGGATTAAGCGAAAAAAATGCCTCAAAGTGAGATTGATAAGTGCCGCGTAGCCAGTGAGCTTTTATTTTAGTTTTAAAGTTAAACACTGGATCAAATTTGCGGACACTGATCAAATTAGAGTATTTTCTGAAAATTGATGTTTTGTTTGAGTTGGGGTACTTTTAAAATAAGTCATGGCTCATGTTGTTTCAGAATCTGTACCTGTCGGCTGGCCAACAGAGGGCCGCATACGCTTTGAAGAAGTATACTTGAGTTTTAATGATGACCCACCAGTTTTGAAGAATGTTACTCTTGAAATTAAACCAAGAGAGAAGGTATGATTATTACTCCCTAAAAGGGGACGGATTATGTTTTTAGCTTCCTTTAATTTCCTACCCAATTCTAGAATTTTCGATAATTACGATCAAAAACCCAACACCATTAGCCTCCATTTGTCGGTTCCGGTTCTTCGTTCTATGCTAACATTATTTTAAAATTATGAAAGACGGAGCAAGCTGGTTTTGCCATATTAAAACATTATTCCAGAAAAGAATGAAAAAATATAGACTGAAATTTCGAGATTTTTGCCGTGAGGGTCATCATGCAGAGCATATTCATGCACGAAAAATTTTAGAAATTCTAAGAATGAAGTCAAACTCAGATCGTCTGACAGCGGTAGAAAAGCTCATTTCAATCTTTCAGAATACAAAAGAATTTAAAATAAAAAAAGTGTAAAAAAATTATAAATGTTTGATTAATTCCTGTTTTAGATTGGTATCGTAGGACGAACGGGCGCTGGAAAGTCATCTTTAATTTCGGCACTGTTCCGTTTGACAAAGTTGGAAGGAACTATCACTATTGATGGAATAGACACGAGTACAATCTCCCTATTCACACTGAGATCCAATATTTCAATTATTCCACAAGATCCAGTGCTTTTCTCGGGAAACCTGCGGAGAAATCTGGATCCTTTCGATCAATACTCCGATGAAGTCCTGTGGACAGCTTTGGAAGAGGTAAAAGTCATTCATATGCGCTCAAATCAAGTACAACGAAACTATTTATCTAATTGAATTGAGGAAACTCTGATGCAGTATGTGAAAGCCATTCTGAATATTTTCATATATTCAGGAAAAATAATTTTCTTTTTTTACTGAAACTTGATTGTCCACGGCAAAAGAATCTTAACCCCTGGAGAGTAAATTTTCATGGTTTCGATGGTAAATTTATTGTTTTAGAAAGTCCGAGTGGATTTCTGGAGGAGGAGTGGACCCGGGGCCCTATAGTTTCAATCATGATAGCTGTTTTTCCTAGACAGATACTTCAAACCGCCATAACTCCAGTACGGTTCAACTCAATTCGCTGGAAATGCCACCCGAATCTCTCATATTTATTGTCATATACTCCTCTGCAGTACCACTACTAACTTTCACACACCATGTTAGTACTTTCTATCATTTTGCGACAATTAGATCTTGTCTTGCATGATGTGAGGAGCCCTTACTGATTTACACCCTTCTTTACCCAGAAATATCTACGATTAAAATCTCTCTTAAGTATGAATTATGAAGTAACGATGATGACATTTTGTCACAGGTGGAACTGAAAGAGAGTGTTTCTGAAACCGGAGGTTTGCAAACCAAAGTAACTGATGGAGGAGGCAACTTCAGCGTTGGCCAGAGACAGTTGATATGTCTTGCCAGAGCAATCGTTAGAAACAACAAAGTTATTATTTTAGATGAAGCAACTGCCAATGTTGATCCAAAGTAAGTATGAGAATTATTTTGCTAAGAAAAGAAAGGAAGAAAGATAAGAGGGAAGAAAATAAAATAAACGTCCACCATTTAGTTAATCTGAATCAACATGTTTCATAATTTCCAAGTACAAAAAATTGCTAGCTGAGTAAAAAACCAAGAAAAAAATGTTGTAAGTCATTAGATGTAATTAAATGAATGGGACGTTTATATCATTCAACATAATGAGTAAAAGCAGGAAAAAATGCACAAAGAATGTTTGAAGTGATTTAATCTATTTCACATCACGAAAATCTGCAATGAAACGCATGCAAGCAATAAAGCAAGGAGTAAATTTTGGGAAAACTTTATAATTTCATCCAACACCTTGTTTGTATTCTTGTTGTAGAACTGACATATTGATACAAACGACGATTCAACGTAAATTCAACGCCTGCACAGTATTGACGATCGCACACAGATTACACACAATAATGGACTCTGACAAAATTTTAGTCATGGACCAAGGCGAAGCAGTGGTAAGTTTTTAAAACGAGTATTTTATTCGCATCAATTAAACCATGCAAAACCAAAAAAAGCACGCTTGGCAGGCAACTTTTGCCGTATGAAAAGAATACATGAGAGGAAAATTAATCGTTGTTTAAATGCTAAGGAAGAATATTTATGGTAGAATTCTCGGTTTGATATCACATTTTATTTTTTGGAGGGCTGATTCATTCTCGTTCTCGTGGGTTTTCTTTGTTCTTTCAAAAATATTCTCTGCATTTTTTGTACCAAAACGGCTATGAATACTATTTCGTAGAAATAAATGGATGTGAATATTTCGAAACGAGGAAAAGATGTTTGTGGCTCTACCGGGGGTAACTTGAATAAAATGCAGGCGAGCTCAATGTGTATTTTTTTTAAGAACTACAAAAACACATCTTCATCAACTTATTGCAAAAACCTATCCACCTTGACTCCTCACGGAATCTTTTGGTAGGAACGCGGTAGTAGAGTAGTGAGTAAAATAAATGAGGAATAACAGGCAAGCTCATACGTTGTTGGTCATGGTGCGAAAACACGTGTCTATATTTGCAATGTTGCAGATTTTCACAGAATATTTTGAGGAAATATTTTAGTTATTATTAATTTTAAAAAAATAAAATATCATATGAAATTTTGGAGTTTTCAATGGAGGTATTTATGCACTCTCACAGTTTAACAATCAAAATTCAAAATTTATCTTGTATTATGGTCAAAAAAGGAGATGCAAAGTAAATGGTAAATATGGTATTATGGACAGCTATATGTAGCAAATTAACCTTTTTTCAAGTTTTTAATGATGGGTTCAATATTATTAACCAGGAATTCGATTCTGCGGCCAACCTCTTGAAGAATAGAGATGGTTACTTTTACAGCCTGGTTCAAGAAACGGGCCCAATCGTTGCAGCTCAGCTAACGAGACTAGCAAATCAAAATGTAAGTTTTCTTTAATTCCATGTTTTGAAGGATACAACGGAGGTATTTGCGCCTAAATATTGGCAAAATCATTTTAAGAACTCGATTGAATATGTTTTTCGAGTTAGTGACAATTATATTCTGTGAGTGAATAAGCTTAAAGGCATATTTGGATAAGAAAAAAAAAATGTTTCATGATAAAACTTGTCTCGCTGACGATTATTAATATGAACTCCAAGAATATGTATTCAATACAAGAAAAAAGAGGAAGAGATCATTTTCAATATAACTGAAGTGAAAGTTTGAAAAACGCAAAATCAATTATGAAGAAAAGAAAAATAAAGAGAAATAAACAAATAAAGCACCAGAATAATTGTTTTATTACGAAAGGCAAATAAATACATAGATTTTAATACATACTTATTTGTTTCAGACTGTCTTATGACATGACATGAAGTCAAGGGAAATTTTCTAAATTCAAGACTTTGATGTTTAATCAAGTCACGCAAAGGACGGAGTTTCTGAAAATTGAACTGATTTATGCAATTGCCCAACTTCAGAGTTTTCCAAATTCTGGTTATTGTTTTTAAGTCTTGTTAAATTTCAGTTCACAAGAATACTGAAAGAAATAATATACCGTACAGTTACCATTGGTCAACATGTCTTTCAAATTTCTTTTTTCAAGAAAATTGTTTTTTTTAAGTTTTGTGCGAAGTATTAAGGGGTACTTTAAAATGAAATAAGAATATAAATGTCGCAAGCAGTTAGCAATCGCCCGAAATTTGCAAGTGACCTAATGTTGTTTGAGAGAACGCAACAAGGTGCATTGGCATAGTGAAGCTTTGATAGGATAGCCTTCAATGACACGATCACAGGTTGGAGCGCCTTCATTTCTGTATGACACTTTACGCATTGTTACAGAGTTAGTTTAGTTGCCTATCCGATCCGAACTCAACCAAGGTCAAGATTTCATTACACGCTCTTTAAAGGAATAGGAACCCTTGTTCCTATCTTTCTGAATAGTTCTATAATTTTCAATTTATTCACTTGAAGCTTACCAATTGCCGGCGATTGTTAACTGTCTGAGACTTATAGAATCCATTTTTTTGGTAATAAAAGAGATACACAGAGAGAAAAAAAATCCGGCATATCCTTTCAAAAAAGTGATGTTACTCAATTCCTTCTATTAAAACGTAAGACAAGTGTTGCAACCCTTCAGAAAAGACGATTCATCAAAAGACTGAAAAGCTATTATTCGCCAACTTATGTCATTAACAACGTTTTAGAAGGACATTTACGATGTAAGAAATCTCAAAAGATTTCCACACCTAGGGAAAAGTTTGTAGTGTCCAGCTAACTTTTCCATGCATTTCAGTTTTAATCCCCTCTAAATATTATAGCATCATGGGATTTAGAAGGATTTTGAAATTGATGAACGTTCCTCCTTCCGTAGTCCCCCTTTCATCCAAAAAAAGCGATCCACGAATGAAGTTTTTTTTATAATTATAGGTATTTTCACTTTTTCCGCTTATATTTGTCACCTTTACAATATTTTGTCCCCACCCAGTTAACTGAGGTTTTATCAAGTGTCGTGTGGTCTTGATTTTTGTAAATAGTGTTAAATACAAATTTGTAAAAAGCAAATTATTAAATAATTTTGAAAATATCAATGTATTTTTTTATTAAAAACATAACTATTCTACTATATCTACGCTTACAGTCGGCACTATAATTTACAGACCCCTCCCCCCTTATTCCTTATTTTTTTGCTGGGAGCAATCAATATGTAGGTATTAGGAAGAACCATGATTGAAAGTGCAAACCGGACTTATTGATGTTGCATAATCAGGGGGACAGCCTCAGTACTTCAGTAAGCGCTTTTTGATTCAGAGTCCTCAACTTCCGGTTGAACGAACCAACTTCTTTGGGTGATAGAACCAACTTCATTTCGGTGAACCAATTGGACTACATTTTGCAAATTGGACCTATAGATTCTAGCCCGGTTTAAAAATGACGTATATGCCATTAGTATCCTAGACACATAAGTGTTTTTCCAGAAGAGCCAGAATTTATAGTTCCAAATTGCAATATGCAGTCCAATTATTCGCCATTCAACGAACCAGAAACACTGGCTTATACGAGGCATATTTCGTGTTGACCGACGTTTCTCGGTCAGATGAACCAAATCTTCGGTTCTGGCAACCATAGATCTCTCCACCAACGGTTCCAGTGGGGATTCTTGAAAGTTGGAAACTTTTCAGCAATTTGGCAACACCGGATTTTCTCCATTTAAGCCTATGCTGAATAATCGATTCTTGTCGGAGCACCTGCCTCCCCTCCCAAGAATCGATAATTTTACATAGGTTTAAATTGAGACAAGACAATGTTGCCAATGTTGCCTCATCTGAAATCGATATTTTTAATGAATTCAAGTGGGAAAACAACAATGTTGACGACTTGCAACATCGCCACTGGACCGTTTAGTGTTTTAAACTACGATACGTGTACTGAAATTATCTATCAGCGACACTTTTTTCACTGTACAACAATGTTGAATGCCTAAATCTCTTCTGAAAGCCCAAGAATAAAGCCAAAAGCTTAAAGCCATGCTTTACAATCAGATGACAATTTTTAAACTCACCCTAGGTGACCAGAGTGAGACTACAGGGTGGACTTAAGGTCGGCTTAGGTGACTTTCCGACCGGTCAAACTTGGTTTTCTTTAATGAGCTTCTCACCGAATTTCACTCAGATCCATTATTTTCGCTGATAACTGATATGAATGCAACACAGTTATCTGCTCCATTGACAGACCGGTGCCGCAATGCTCCTATTCTGGGCGAGGGAGGGGGGCCGTTGCCCCAGATATTTTTTGATAAGGCCTTCTTTCCTGTTTCCTTTGCCCAGGATCGCGAAATAATTAGTTCATGCTCCTCCGCCGCGTCGCGCCATCCTTTATGTTGGTTTTTCTTTCATTTTCCGTTTTAGTGTGCAGGTGAAAAAGATTCCTCAACATGATTCTACTCAGGTATGACCATGGAACATAAAACATTTTTTCATTTCATGCTGTTATTATTCGTCTTCTGGCCATTGATCGCCAAATTTCAAACCCTACGTGGAGCTAGTTCTTAATTTTTTATTGCGGGAGGAGGGGAAGAGGTTGAAAGCTTACGTGGATATATTTTACTTGTACATTTTCAGAAAATTAGTGATTTCTTCGGAACTACTACGCACAACTTTCTAAAAACGTAACGATGATCTCTTTAATTTTTATCCGTGCATGAATGGTGCCGGTTACCGGTCTACGATTTAGCGGATACATTGATAATTCATCTGATCTTTAAAATGAGCATGGATACCACTTAATCCTATTCTTCTCAAAGTTTTGCAGCGAATAATGACAATATTTACTATTTTTTTTTTATTTTTTGCGGAGAAGGGAACAGGGAGGGCTTGTAGTTACCAAACTGTGTATTCCGTGTGAATGACCGAGAGATGATATACAACAAAATATTCAAGTATACTCATGCAGGGTCTCATTTTCAAATGACTGTTATTTTCCTTAATTTTTTGAAAACTTGTGATCATCATGGGGAAAAGGCATCGTATTGCCAAAAGTACTCAAAACGTGGGTTTGGTCGTGCTTTAAACATTTTTAAATATTATTAAAGTTAAAAAGAGAGGTACACAATAAATTTCGTAGGCTAGAATTGCTCTCTGAAGTTATCAAACTAAACTGTGATTATGACGGTGTCAAGCTTGTAAGTAATTAACTATAAGGAATAATGAGTTCTTTAAGGGGGAAAAAAGCTATCTACAGCTTTGATACAGCTTAAAATTTGACTCATTTCACCACAGTATGCAGCTTTGAGCAACTGTTCCCGTTACTTTATTTCCTCTCGTGTTTCATGTTTATACAGAAAACTAAACAACACAGCGCATTAAAACTTAGCGTAAGAAGATGTCTCTATAGCTTTATAGAGAACATATTAAAGAATTTCAAATTAGAAACAAATTAGCATTATCTCCGTTAGAAGATAGAAAATCTGAGGAAATTAGACAATGCATGTCATGGTTGGGTTCACTCTATTTAAAACTGCTCAATGGTAGGATTTTGGTCACGGTGTCCCTGCAGGCCCTGAATTTCCACAAAAACGAACTCAAACCGTCACTTTCATACACTTAAAATTGAATCTGTGAATTCTTGATCCAACCTACAAAATAATTTTCCTCGATAAATATATACTCCCTTGAAAATAAAATGTATTTTAAGCAGCGCGAGACATTTTTTTGCGATTTGAACAATATTATCAATTTCTTTAAGTTAATCTTCGATTTTTTCGTCGAGTAAGTTTTTGAAGAGATGATATGTAAATGATTGCTCTAGTTCGTACCTTGTCCTGTACCTTGTTTTATGACTTTACGGAAATAATTACTAATTGGACCACATTTTACAATTAGGAACTACAATTTCTAGCTCATCCGTAAAAACACTTAAGTACGTAGGAAAACTAATGTTTCGTACGTTGTTTCTGAGCCTAACCAGAATTCATAGTTTCTAATTGCAAAGTGTAAATCCATTTACCACTGCGTGTAATAGTAATTCTTTTCGAGAAATCCGATTCTCTACTAGAGGTGTATGATCATTTACGCAGATATGGCTGCTTGCTGGCTTTGCTGATAAATGTTGGATGCGTGCCGCTTTTCAACTTGAACACGTGGGAACGTGAATTGGATGTCAACGTATGCACAACGAGTCAATGTCAGCAGTCGGGTAAGTAGTCTCCCCACCCCTCTATCCACCATTTTCCCGAAGTCACTACCCTTCTGCGATGCCATAGAAAAGCGCCCCATAGACTTAATTTTTGGATGAAGAACTACTATTTCTGTCTCATTTAAGAAATCACCTATCTGCGTAGGATAACTAATGTCACATACGCTGTTCATAAAATAAAGCAGACAAGACATAGTGACTCCAGAGTCATTGTAGAATGTGATCCTCGTGAACATTCGAAGGTTGTAAAATTCCTCAGACATACTACTCTTCATTGAGAATAGTTATATGAACAGTAGTGGACGGGCATAAAAAATGAATCCAGGAGCAACGGCCTACTCGTTCTTTGATTGGCTCGTTACATTTGTTTTCTCGTCATATGAAAAAACCGACCCAAAATACCCCAAATATTAACCAGCCCTGGTGTTTTATTCCGGTGTTCCCACCAACCTGTCTGGCCCTGGTCACGAATATTTTTCTTTCGTTATTTTCAGGAACGTGAAATTAATTAAAGCAGCTAAGGTGAAATATTTTTATTTCCAAGTGCAATGTTGCAAATTTTGTATCTTGTTTTATTCTAATTTAAACAAGAAAATAATTTGGCTTTTCTTGAAATTCTCTACGAATGTTCTTCACTCGTCCAAAATTATTCTGAGAGGTTACCAAGGGAACATTTTAGTTGGTTTTTTCAGGAATATGAATTGTAATGAGAAGTTCTGAAATTTTAAAATGGCAATACACATTTTTTCACTTCAATCATGCAATTAATGGGTCAATTGCGCTGGTCACTGAATCTTGTTTTGGAGCTTTATTCTTGCAATTCAGCATAAATAACAAGATTTGTCTAAACAGCAACTTTCTACGTTCAATACTGACCGAGATATCGCCTTTAGAAAAGTCGGGTTTTTGACGTCATCCACCGCAGTACCGCGGTAGTGACACCCTTGGTTTCTTCCACATTACGCATTTACACTGGTTACTTAACGTAAAACTCGGAAGAAAGCAAGGTGGAAGCAACCAAGGGTGTCACTACCGTGATGGATGACGTCAAAAGCCCCACTTTTCAAAACACTATACCTCGGTTAATATTGGACGTAGAGAGTTGATGTTCGGACTGATCCTATTATTTTTAGCTACACTGGAAAAAGAAGAATCTTAAATTTGCCGCCAAGAAGTATTCCTTCTTAAATCAAGAATTTTGCTGGTTAATATAAGCTACTTTTTTGCTTAACCCAAGCATTATTTTTCTTGAATCAAGAAAAAGTCAGCTTAAAGCAAGATAAAGAAAATTCTTGGCGGCAAATTCAAGAATTATCATGCTTGATCCAAGCTACTTTTTTTTTTCAGTGTAGTCTAAAGGGTGTAGCATCAAAACTCGATTCTGTGACCAGCGCAACTGACCAATTTTTAATGGAACTCTGCGGAAAGGAAGAAAGGGGGAAAAACAAACAGAGCTCGTATACTTTTTTTTTTTTTACTCATCCAGAAATAGATTTTCATACGGCGTTTTTCCTTTACACGGCAGCCCTGACCTACAGCTACGGACTCGAGGCGCTTAGCCGGAAGTTTGATATCCGCGTCGACTCTGTTAAATCGCTCCTCTGACGTAAGGGCGCATCTCTTTTTTCACATGAACCTCGGAAAGCATAGGGTTGTACGGAGCACACGGCTCACGTGGAAATTGAGATACGTCCTTACGTCAGAGGAGGGAAGAAACGGAGGAGTAGGTTTTGATTGCAGAACGGATCATACTCGCTCCACTTACATGGAGAACAACGAAGCGCTTACAAATATATCCCGTAACGGATACAATAGGGAGGGGGGGGGTCAAAGTCGAGCTTAAATAACGATCCAAATTAATAATGGAGATGTTGCATGTGTGAGGAATTTGCGATTTGATTGTTGATTCTTACGTAAAAGTTCGCAAGAAACACAATGGTGCCACTGGTTTTCTCTGAAAGCAACTCCCAAGCTCAAAAAAAGCTCTCAAGTTGAGGCAAAAATGGAGGAAATATCCCACGCTATCTTGAGAGTCCACATCTACATCAAGACAAACTCTCCATGCAAATATAGGGAGCAAATACATTAGCAGGGTTGCCGTGTTTTCAGTTTCGGAGTCCCCAAATAAAGTGGAAGCCCTGTCAATGTATTTGCTCCCTATCTTCGCATGGAGAGTTCGTTTTGTTGTAGAGGTGCTCTCACGGTAGGGTGGGATATCCCCTCCATTTTGCCCTCAACTTGAGAGCTTTTTTCGAGCTTGGGAGTTAATTTCAGAGAAAACCAGTGGCCACATCGTGCTTCTAGCGAATTTTTACATAAGAATCAATAGTCAAATTGCAAATTCCTTACACATGCAACATCTCCATTCCGTTTCTTAGTACCGATAAGTTCCCATCCCTTAAGTTTCAGTTGGAGACACAATGAACGTCATCCATCGTCGTCTTTGGACATATTTCTGCCAAACGGAACTATTAATGACTGAAAATGATGGGGAATGCTCTAGAGAGCTGCATAAGAAATAATGTTAAAAGGGCATGATTCCCTTTGAAGAAATAGAAAGGCGGGATTTTAAATTCTGTCAAACGGAGCTATGTGCCAACTGAATGCGGCATTCATGAGCCGTGGGAATGGGAAAAGAGCGCTGTACACAGGGCTCATGAGTTACGAGCAAGAGGAACAACGGATAAGGCTTCGATGCCGCTGACGTCAATGGCGCTTTATGGTTCCCAGTCATTCTTACGGTCCTCAACTAAGGAGCACACCCTTTATTTTCTACTTGCCTCAGGTTCCGTTCGGCAGAAATACGTCCACTTAAAAAAATATCGACTCCCAACTTCACATTTTTAAGGGATGTTACTAGACGTATTTGCACTAAAGTTTCGCGGAAATAAAATTGGAAGAAAAAAGAAGAGCAATTGAAATGTCACACATGATTCATACATATATTTTTACACACAGACGAATACAAATTTTGCGTGCATAATTAAATAAAAAAATGTGCTTATTACTTAAAATCCAAATGTGAATGCAATATAATTTTGAGTCATGTAGGAAAGAAAATCCACACCTCCTTCTCTCAATTATGACATTTTTCAAATTTGAAACATTCAAAAGTTGACAGCCTGAAGGCTCCAGGATATTGGTTTTAGAGCTAAAGTGCGTTTGAATTTTAACAACCTCGCAGTCTTGGCCGAAAACAAATATGACTGTCTGTTGATGATAAAAATGAACAAATAGCCACCTCACTAAAAACAAACGAATTTTAATTATTAAAGAATTTGTTTGCACTGAATTTGCTAGTTTATATCTTCTACAACAGACGGTCATATTTGTTAACGGCCAAGACTGCAAAGTTGTTCAAATCCAAATCTTGCGCCAAAGCTCTACCGTGCTAAGGAAGGACGCCGTATGAACATTCGAGAGTTGCCACATTTTCCTTGATAGAACATGTATTTTTGACAACATTCATGCATATTTTTCCTTGAAATTTTCAGATATTTTAGATTAAAGTGCGTACAAAATTGTTTGGGAATTATGGAAAATAATATCCGCAATTTTCCCAGTAAATTCGGTTTTAATCGGAGGAAGCTTGGCAACGGCTGAAGGCTCATACGGCGTTCTTCTTTAGCACGGCAGAGCTTTATAGCGGCGGGAGCCGAGAGGACTTGGCACAACATACCTACGTTTCACTTATCTTCTTCTTGGACAACCTGACATCTTCTGCCATTCCAGGAACATAATCATACCAGACGTGCTGTTTTTTTCATAAGTCCCTACTACACATTTACTTCGAACAGATGAACTCCATTATAAACAAGATCGAACTCAGAACATGCCCAACAATCAAAACAACAAAAGCGACCTGCAAGTCATCCATGCCGAAGGGTCTAGGTGGCTGCGCTCCATAAACCTCTTCATACCTCCGGAAATGCTCGTAATAATTATCCCCCAAGAGATTCGCAAACGCCCTCGTGGTTATTCCGGCCTCGATTAACCGCGCGACCGCCGACTTGATCTTAGCGGCGTACACGGAACCGGACAGCAGCCGCATGTCGTAAGGGTAACTCATGATACACTCCCTCACGATATGGTAGTCATACCCGATGCTGCGCAACGAGCCCATATCCGGGACCTTGAATAGCTCCTTCTTACTGGCCAAGTTTGGAAGGAACGCAACGAAACCATCATTGTGGAAAATTGACCTCTCGGCTTTCAGCATGCTTTTCAAAGCCAACTCGGAGAGGTTGAGTCCCAATAAACTGTCGTAATACACGGTGTCATCGGTGTTGTTGTGCCCTAGCACGACCCAGAATTCGTCGCGTCCGAGCCTGTAATCGTACCAGGAGTGAATGAATCGCGATTCCAGCCAATCGTACATGGGGTCATCCAAGAAAAGGAATAACTTGGAAGGCGCTTTGCTCATCTGGAAAAGTACGTCCGACTTCCGCAAATCTTCAGTTGTGTGTGGAGCATCAAATCGCAACCTAGGGAGATGAAAAGAAATGTAGGAATTAGCTCTCTACTAGCTACTAACATTCATTACAGACAATGGCGTGGCTAAAAGTCAGAGAGGGGGAGGGTCGTCATCAGGTTTAAATGTCTGAAAATCACGACAAGTTAATTTTTTTTTTTTTTTTTTTTTTTTTTTTTTTTTTTGTGGAAAATTCTTGAGTTAGAAGAAGGGTCAAGACCCACTGGATTCATCTTTTATCCATTTAATATTACAGGGAATAAGAAACTCATTATTACTCTCGGAAAACTTCATTGCGTTAACCGCAGACATACGTGTGGTCCTCACATTGAAACTGAGGTTATTTATTAGGAGCTCTGGGCTTAGTGAACACTGAAAAAAAAAATCTCGATGTATTTACTAAGAAAAAGGTAAAATTACCAAGAATTCAGGGTTCTATTTGATCCCAGTTTTTCTTGGTAAAATTACCATTTATAGAATTGGTAATTTTACCGAGAAATCTCGGTAAAATTATTGAACTTTCTCGGTAATTTTACTTAACCTTGATAAAAACGCCAATATTTTTTATCTACTGTGGTAGAATTACCGAGATAAAATGGCAAAGTTACCGAGAATTGATTACCAATAAAAGTGGTATTCTTATCTGAAATAACAGTAAAAATACCGGTTTTTAGGTAAGCTTATCAGTCTGTCTCGGTAAAATTACCAATAATTGGTAAAGAAAGTGAGATGGCAAAAGTACCAATGGACCTTGGTAAAAACGCCGAGAATTTTTTCCAGTGTGGCGAGCAATTTATCGCATGCATTAAATGACAAATCTTGGGAAATTTTGACTTTTTAGCCAATAAAAACGATGATAACCCCCTTGCATAAGAAAACTTTCATTCCGTCGCTCCTCTGACGTTAGGGCGTATCTTAATTTCCGTATGAGCCCCAGAAATCATGGATTCATATGGAAAATAGGGCTTAGGTGGAAATTAAGCCAAATGGGCGACGTTTTGTGGGAATTAGAACGTTTAATTTTAAAAATGAAGTAGAACCGTCACTGTTTACTTGAATTTTTTCTTTTTTTAAAGAAATATCCGTCTCGATCCTTGATTACTCACCCTACCTGGTGGCTCATTCGATAATACTGGGTCAGGAAATTATTTATATCATTATTATTGATTAGTTGTTTGTTAAAATTTTGAAAATAAGTCAATTGTGTGAATATCATGACGTACGCCTACTTTTGCAGTTATTGATGAGAAATTGCTCGACGATAAAACTGCAAAAACGCTGATCTTGTTTGCGATGTTACGAAATTTCCGCTCCGAAAATATTGTAATTAAAACAAGACGGACCTATTTCATCTTTATCGAAAAAACGGACCAACAATGTTACTCGACATAGAGACCAAGAAAAAAAAACCAAAGAAATTGCCGAAAAAGGACTTTGAGTTTTTTTTTTCCATCCATGAAGCAAATAAATGACATTAAATGAAATAAATAATTAGACTGGAAGCATGCAGTGTCACGAACCAAGCTCGCGTTTTTGCCAAAGATATTATAACAATTAGATATGCGGCTAGGGTGGGGTAACCTAGACCTGCTAGGGGGTACATGCGCCTGGTGGATAGGCAGCGTGTTTTACGTAGAGTCGAACTCTCCTACAGGAGAGGGGGGTATGGGAGATTTCGCCTCTGCATAAAACACGCTGCCTATCCGCCAGGCGCATGTACCCCCTAACAGGTCCAGATACCCCGCCCTAGGTAAGCCCGTACCGCATATCTAACTGTTACAATATCTTTGGTTTTTGCAGTCTCACGGGTTCCTGCTACTAACCTTATGCTCTGGAACGTAACCATAGTGCTCAAGAAGGCAGTCGTTAAAACCAGGCACGAGAAAGAGAAGACCACGAATAGGATCCTCCCCGTGAGGTGGCCGAGAAGCAATCGAGGATGGGCCGCGCAGAGTATGAAACGGTAGACGATGAAGAATGTCGAGACGCTCTCTACAGTCGGATCTACTCCTGTCATCAAGTAGAATCTACGATAGCCTTCGTGCACGGTGACGAAAGTAGCGACGGAAAGGATCGTCCACAACCAGACGATAGCGGAGAAACATCGTGTGGGAATAAGATAGGAGGGCATGTACCCTTTATCGGGGACGATGAAGCAAAGCTTCCCGAAATCGTACATCGAAACGACGTCGAGATGACGGAAATCGTCGTCCTCGAGACGTGCCTCGAACGTGACCACGTCAACGTCTTTTTCGATCCTCCCGGAGAAATCCAGATGGCACTCGTCGCGGTCGCCTTCAACCTTACAACATTCTTGGTAAAGAAAACCGTTCATGTGTTCGACGACGGTTTCCATGAGGAAATGTTGGAATTCGTCCCAGTGCTTCAGCCCGAAATAGTAGTCGCAAGGATCTCTTGAGTCGTAAACAAGATTCGAGATTTGCTTTCCGCGGATGTCCGACATTGAGTAGTCGAAGAAGGATTCGTTTTTGGCGGAGAAGGAGGTGATGGTCTCTGTGAACGGGTCGTAGCCGAAGCAATGGTCACCGATACAGATTATGGTTTTGAGACCACGGAAAAATTTCCACATGAATTTGAATGTGGGTATCAGGGCACGCTCTATGTTTTGGTTGTGAGGAGGATTATTCGCACAAAACTGTTCGGCTGACCCGGCATTCCAGATATTGAAAATGAGGTAGTTCTCTCCGTTCCAGACTGGATGATACAGCAGTCTCCCTTCTAGACTTTGTGGCGGTATGATAGAGTTCTCTTGAAAATCCGCGTGATTGGAATCTAAGATGATCCCTTTCATTTTCGCTTCATTTGTCCAGCTTTTAGTGAAGTTTGCGTCGCTCAGACCAATCTTCAGATCTTGGTGATTTGGAGTTATTAGTAAAGGATTTTCAATGCTTAGGTTTTTTCTATTCTTTGTAGAATTTGCGATAAGTTCGAAGATGTCACCGCAATCGCGAAGTAAGAATAGCATGTTTTTCGGACTTTGTTGGGTCTTAAGGTCAGGGATTGATCCCACTGTGGTATGGATGTGGTGCTCGTGGAGCATGTAAATCAGCTGAGAGGGTGAATGTTGCGCATCGTGGTTGAAGATGTGTATCGACGATCTTTTAGATAAACTCAAAGTATGCTGGATAACTTTCAAAAGGAAACTCGGGGTGCTGTCATTTTTGAAGGAGGAGGTGCTAAGTTTATTAGTACTGGTTATTGAAAGTGCTCCTGCCAAAAGGAGAAGTACACGCATCACTCTACTAACCTGGACAAATGTATTCAACGAGGCTAAGGGTTACAACATTTATAAATACATATTTTCAGCCCCCTTCAGTGTTCACAATATTTTTTTTAAAAATCACACTCATAAAATAACGGCGACAATGCGGTGACATTGTGACGCGGAGACAATAGTTGCACCAAAATAATGTTATATTGTACTCTTCTTAAGTTTTAAAACACTAAAAGGTCTTTGATTTCCTGTTGAAAAATTTTCAAATGAGTCTAGTTGAGATGTAGACACGCCTACATCACCACGTTAATAACTGAAAACTTTTCACTCTCTATATCCAATTCGATAGTTTCATTTCCTTGAGTCCTAGTTTGAGTAAGTTTGGCAGAAACAAACCGAACACCCATTAATCAAGAATTTTCCAGTTGAATTTACGTTGAATTCAAAGTGTGAGATTCTAAACTTCAGAAAGCAGGAAAATACCTGACGAGAAGATGATACATTTATTAGAAATTGAAAATTTAAGATATGGTGGCACTCCGACGAAGGAGAATTCTACCTTACTCTTTTAGGGTAAATGCAAATTATAATTCAAATAAAAACTAACAAATAAATAAAAAAATCTAGAAAAGCGTATAAATTCCACCAAACCCCGGAAAATAAACGCATAATTCATTGCTTGGAGCCATGACCTACAAAATCTGATATTTATGTTCCTCTCAACATGCTGAAGGATACACAGCTTGCGCTCAAGATATACCGTTGCTAAATAATTTATGCATAGAGTGCTGAACTGAAGGTGTACAATTATAAGTTATCCTAGCGCTCTACAGAATTTGAACATGTTTATTTACACCTCTTGAGAAGAACCGCAAATGTGCCAGGAAACGACAACAGTTTCGCTCGATACCACTGGTGGGACGTTTTAAACGCAGTTTCCTCTGTTGGTAGGGGCGAATAAACAAAATTATGCTTTAATACTTTGTATATGAAAAAAGTTGTTTTTGACAAATATCTTTAACTGTTTAAGCTGCGCTGTTGGTGAGGAGTTTGAACCAGTCTGCAGACCCTTGCGAAGACTTCTATCAGTTTGCATGTGGCGGTTGGGTGGCCAGTCATGAAGTCCCCAAAACGAGGTCCCATTGGAATCAGTTCAACGTTGTTGACGATAAGCTCAATTCTCAGCTCAAAAGTAGGTAAATACGTGTTAGATACGCGTGATAAGTATCCGTGGACCACTGATTAGGGTTGCTTTGCTTGAGCACCACAGGACATGCATATGACTCTAACTAGAACTAACCAATTTACATTTGTGAATGGGCCTGTTGAATGCAAGAGATACAGCCGCGCGAATAGACTTTGTAGAGGTTAAATGACACGAAAATTACGATGGTCTCATTAAAAAAGTCTGAAATACACTCCTTACTGCGCAATTTGCGTTGTTAGGAACGCGCTTTTTCAAATTTCCCGCGTCTGGGGGCAGTTTTCTAATCACCGAAAACGAGCAAGCGGCGGGCTCGGTGATTTCCGGAAGATGCCGAGTCGTTGTTATTTTTTCCTTCAGTTTGTTTACAAACCCAACGTGATCTCTTATAGTGGTCCATATACGCTTTATGTGGTAACGAAATCGATCAACTTTTAAATATCCAGCGCAATCCTTCTACATTTCATTTCACGATATCACGAGCTCCGATTTTTAGGTTATGTTGTCAGTTTTAGTTGACCGAAAATAGCCGCGAGTTGCCGTTAGAAAACTGCCCCCAGACGCGGGAAATTTGAAAAAGCGCGTTCCTAACAACGCAAATTGCGCAGTGAGGAGTGTATTTCAGACTTTTTTAATGTGACCATCGTAATTTTCGTGTCATTTAACCTCTAAAGAGTCTATTCGCACGGCTGTATCTCTTGCATGCAACAGGCCCATTGGTATATTTTCACAAGTTCTAATTTATAACCAGTTTAACAGCCTGACGCATTGAAATTTTCTTGTGAAGCTGCTTAGATTTTGAAAAATATGCTCATTGCTGATTCAATTCCAAGGCAGAATTTTGCTTAATTTTCTCTTTAAGAGATAAACCAGGGAAAATTAAATCGAGGACAGTTAGATTGGTTCTGGTTAGCTACGTTACTGCATAAATAGATCTCAATTAAGCACGTTAGACGCTTTAAAACTTTTCAAAACATAAAATCGACTCATAATTAAGTAAATCGTGTAGAAGGAACAGTTGAAATTATTGTCGACCTAACGGGCCTTGAAGGTAAGCAAGAGCTCCCGTCCTTCAAAATAATATAATTATAATTGGATGTTTTTATTGACGCAAATTGAATCAGTGAGAACCAAACCACACCAACTCGGAAAAATGAAAATAATCAAGACACTTGCAAAACTGCATAGTAGGTGAAGAAGTTAGATTAAGAAAAATATTTTCGCTGCCGAAAGACATGTACTTATGGACACTTTAAAGGTCCAAGTTGGAACAGATTGGACCTTTATGTAAATTAACCGTCTTCAATGGAAATTGAGCATATTCGAGTTACCGAGTTGGTGTGTTTACGTTCTCACTGATTCAATTAGGAGTTCTCCTTGTATTGCTTTTTTCACAATATTTCCCTCATGTTGCAGACTATTCTGCATTTTTCTTTCATTTTCAAAAAAAAGAATAATATACGTCACACTATGACCCTACTTTATTCCATTTTAAAATATTTTCTTTTAAACGCATAATTATGCTAACATTTTCTGTGTTTTTGTGGTCAGAAATTTTAGAAACAGATGATCCAATGGATCCTGAGCCTGTTAGATCAGCCCATCGGATGTACGAAGCCTGCATGGATACAGGTAATTTTATGTATGCTAACGCAAAAAATTGCATTGCTTCTTGTCTACCGCGTGTACATTGCCTCTCGACATGCAGTTGAGTTGACTGCTTTGTAAAGTTATACGTTTGTAAGTTACAGATTGCCACTTATCGAAGTAGCTGGGCTGCGCTATCTGTGCGCGTAGCACAGCGTATACCTAGACAGATACTACACCTCTATTGTGAAATAGTTGCTTCAGGCGCCGCCGCACGACGGGCGGGCGGCCAGCGCGAGAGGGCCACTGGCGCCTACAAACCTAAGTGGATACTTCAAGCATTGTGCAATGCGTGAAGTATCCACTTAGGTTTGAAGGCGTCAGTGGCCCTCTCGCGCTGGCAGCACGCCGCACTATGGTCCACGGAATGGATTTAACGGAACTTTCTTCGAAAATGCACTGCACCGTTATAAAAGGTGTTGGTTCTTATGTTTTTTGGGTCGCTGATTTCATTTTACATCTTAGTTTAACAAAATATTAACATCCTGACCGAGAAACTTAACCTCAAATGTGATTTCTGGCGCTTTTAAGACTGAAGATTTTTTCCACCCTATTTTGACATGTATAAAAATAATAACATAAGTGTCTCTCTGTCGAGATCAGACTATTCTCATTTATTTTTAGGCGGTAAATCCGAATATGACCTCCGTTTTGGTCCATCACCCTTAAATTTTCCGGAAAAGCCGATTTTACCCGGAAAAATGGACATTTTTGGTGTTTTTGCGACTGTTGACCTCTGCAACATGTAGGTAAAATTTTTTCCAGGTACTAAATAGTACTAGTTCGATGTATTTTGATCTACTGAGTCCGAAAATGACCTTTGTTTTTTCTTATCACCTCTCTTTTTTCCGAAAAAGCGACTTTTTCCCGGGAAAATGAGCAATTTTGACGCATTTTTGTCATAATTGCAATTCATGTTGATAAATTATACTGGACCCGTGGTAAAGCGATTCTGCCATGTATATTAAGCTGCTAAATCCGAATATGACATAGGTTTTGGTTTATCACCCTCCAGTTCTCCGATAATGCCGATTTTTCCGCGCCTTTTGAGTAAAACCTTTCCCGGACTCTTGTGTTAAAAATACGGTTTAAATTGATTTCGATGTTTGATATATCGTTACTTATGTATTTTGACTTGCCAAACCCAAATATGATCTTAGATTTTTCCTATCACTCCTCATTATCCCGGAAAATTCAATTTTCCTCGGAGAACGAGCTTTTTCGGTATTTTTGCGCCAATTTTCCTATTCTATGGAGTTGTAGCGATTTTCCAAGTTCCTCTTTAGGTCTTCTCTGACGTCTTAAGAAACATTCAACCGGAGTTCGACCTCAAATTGCCTCTTACAACCCCCCGTTTTCCTCAGAATACGGAAAATCGTCGCAAAAAAGCTCGTTCTCCGAGGAAAATTGAATTTTCCGGGATAATGAGGGGTGATAGGAAAAATCTAAGGTCATATTCGGGTTTAGCAAGTCAAAATACATAAGAATCGATATATTAAACATCGAAATCAATTTTAAACCGTAGTTTTAACACACTTAGAGTCCGGGAAAGGTTTTACCCAAAAGGCGCGGAAAAATCGGCATTATCGGAGAACTGGAGGGTGATTAACCAAAACCTATGTCATATTCGGATTTAGCAGCTTAATATACATGACAGAATCTCTTTATCACGGGTCCAGTATAATTTATCAACATGAATTGCAATTATGACAAAAATACGTCAAAATTGCTCATTTTCCCGGGAAAAAGTTGCTTTTTCGGATAAGTGAGAGGTGATAAAAAAAACAAAGGTCATTTTCGGACTCAGTAGATCAAAATACATCGGAATACTTTTATTTTGTACCTAGAAAAAATTTAACAGTCGCAAAAACGCCAAAAATGCATGGAATATTCCACATTTTGATGTACGGAGGTGCACTTCGAAAAAAATTAATTTCGACCGTTAGGCGCAAAAAGGCGCAATTTAAATTGGCATCATTTTAAAGTCAAGGATATGTTGAACAAGATGTTTCAATCCGCAAAGCATTAACTAGAATTAAAAAAAAGTTAGAGCTTCCTAAAAATTACGAATTTCACTGATTTCTAGCATTTTTTGGCGTATGTTTGGAGCGTTCAAAAGCATACAAATTTCGGTTCAAAATTGATGAAACGGGGTGAAAAGGAAGTCACTTGCTATCAGGTGGATCCATGTTGCCCAAAAATTTACATAGATGAGGCGTAACTCGGTAAAATAAACACCCTGTAACGCACCACCGAATGCGGCTCACAATCAGCTAATGAAGACCTACCGCGCGCTCTGTTGTTAGGGTCCGTCACAATCTTATAAATCATTATTAGTCGATGAAAACTTAGGTGACGATCCATGAGAGTATGTATGATAAAACTGTAGTGCCAAACTATAATTTTTTCCACCCTCAAAATTTGACTAAAGTTCCGTTAAATAGGGTCTGTGGACCATAGTGCGCCGCTCCGCTCTGATAGGCTTTAATATTTATACTCACATAGTCAGCGTTTTTTAACTCATGATTTTGAAACGTGTGCACACTCTTCATTGATTATTCTCATTTAATTGATGGGAAAAAAAATATGTATCAATTTATCAAAGGATGATAATAATATAATGTGTGTTTTTTTTAAATATTGGTGGTTCCGTATCAAATTTAATGATTCCTAAAGCACTTTAATTTTTTCTTTTACATTTTGAGCTTTTATTGTGCTGCAGCGAGGTGCACACGCAACCAAACGCTCAAAATTTGACGTATTTGACTCTAAAAGATCGATGTACAAATGGGTTAAAACTAAAGATTGCGTGCTTCTTGGTTTTTTCCCCCTATTTTATTCATTTTTGCAGTTTCTGTCGGCACAACTGCGGCTCATTGAGATCAATGTCGCTTGGAAAAGATTCTAGAAATATTTGTCACGTTTTAAAAATATAAATGTTTTCAAAATGAAGTAATAATTTCGTAAAGAAATAATTACAAAAATAAAAAAAGTACCTATACATATATAAGGTATATTGTACATCAAATATTTTAAGGATAGAAATAAAACCAAATATTCACTAATGACAATTTAAAAAGATGATTCAAAAGGAGAAAGTAATAACGTTTCGTTTAGAAAATGAGCAACCATATCAACATCTCCTTCTCTCTCAATTTCTCATTTCTATATTGTCAATATAATTTTACATACCGACTAAAATAGGACGCTTGGACCAAGTCACTGTTGCTTATTTTACGTGTGGGCGTAACTTACTGGACAAAAAAGGTGCGCGGACAAAAAATCGTTGACAAAATGTCCTGAAACCCGATGGTGAGACTACAAAACGGATATATTTTTTGATAACTTCGCAAAATCGCGTTTTTACGAGACGACTGGTCATTATAAAGATATGAAAAGTGCCTAATTTTGTCTTATTATTTTTCTAAACATTTTAAAAAACTCCTGACATATACTCCCCAATAGGATAAAATATTAACTTGTACATTTGAAACAAATTAATCAAGATACACTGTTAAAAATTATTCTGGCCTTAGTGGCCTGAGTGAAATATTATGGAGCTATCCTGCCTGAAGCATCGAGTGACAAAATTTTGCGGTGAGTTAGATAGCTCGCTCTGGCATGGGAAGCTCCTTGTAGCATGTGTCACTCCAGGAAAGACAGATATTGGCTCGGGAGAGATACTTTCCACTCAGATTTAAGATACTTAAGAAGAAACAGAGCTATAATTTTTTGCGCATCATCAACGCGCATTGGCCGTTACAATCTTATTCTGGAATTCACGACTGAGACGGCGTCAGTCTCCAGCCAGTGGCTTTTGCGTGAACAGTGATTAGTTGCGACTCGTGAAGGTGTACAGCAAATTAAATTTTGTTTGAAGGCTTTCCAGGATAATACCCCATGGATCCCATACCAAAGTGTTCGCTGAGTTCCTAACACGACGGAAAATAAAAATTCGTCCTAGTAGAATAGCCTACCTCCAGGAATTTTGAAAACGCCGGTAAGGGCAGCAGTTTTATGAAACTAGGTTTAAGAGAAAAAATACACATTTCGTACCATTATACTGCAAAATTGTATCTCTTTCTCTTTTATCGCTTCATTCCTTATCGCTTGTTGATTTGCATGTGCATGGTAGTTTATTTAGATTATTCCCTATTTAAAACCATCATGTTGCTCCCGTTAATGTATTATTTGCTTTTAGTTGTACTTTCTTGTCAAGTATCTGTAGTTTCCTTGGTGAAGGTTCGTTATGCGTCTGGAGATGGCACTGTATGCCGAAAAACCTCAGGTGTATTGAATAAAATTTTGCAGTATAATTCTACGAAATTGTCATTTATTCTTTTTAGCTCGTATGATACTTTTGGGCATCAAAGCCTGATTATGTGGGTATGGCGTGGCGTCCAGTAAAGTTAGAATTCTGTTATCGTGTATATTTATTTTTTAAGCTTACACTGAATTTATGTTCACAAAATACTTAATATCTATAAAACTTTTCTTTGTCTAAAAGCGTTTTCGAAATTACTGGAGACGGCTGTTCAGCTATGACAAATATTGATATTCCGTCGCGTGTTTGCAACTCAAAAAACACTTTGGCTCCGAATTTGTGGGATATTGGCCCGGGAGTTCCTCAAACATGATTTGATTTGCAGTACAACTTCACATCTTTTAAAAAAAAAAAAGAACATACATTGCAGTTACAGGAAGGGAAAGGCAGAAGAGGGAGGGAGGAGAGGGAGGGGAGGAGAGGGAGGGGAGGAGAGGGAGGGGAGGAGAGGGGGGAAACGGATCGGGGTATGAGACGGATGCCAGGGGTAAGGGGAGGGCAGTCGCCAGCGACGCAGCCCGTCCTTATGCCTGAGTTACTTTAGCTCAGCATTTCCATACTTACGTCGGAGATTTTCAACTCCGTGGAAATTGGCCCTGAGCGATGAGTGACTTCCGAGCGACTTCCTTATATAGGTACTCTGAGCTAATTTTTTTTAACAGTGTAGCAGGTAATTCCGTATTATTTCACGATCAATAGGACCTATTTTCGATTCGGACCATTACGAAAAAACGTCCAGCCTCTAACTTTTACTTACTATTATTTTGAAATTTCCTGTTCAAATGTCACAGAAAGGATTGAAGCTACAGGACTGAACCCGCTGATCAAACTATTGGACGAGTTTGGTGGATGGCCAATGGCCATGACGGACTGGGACCCTACGGATTTTGATTGGCTCAAAATCACCCTGGAATCAATCAGACGATGGTCAACTATGTCGCTCTTCTATTTCTACGTCTACGTGGATAGGAAAAATTCAAATCAAAGCGTTATCACGGTACGCACTAACGCATTAACGGTATCTACTAACCTGTGATGCCCTTTTTATATTCTGAATTCAAATTTAATGCAGAAAATTTAATTAGATTAAATTAACTTACTGAAAAATAACACTATCCCCCTTCCTCTACAGTCTTGTACTGGTACTCATTAAAGCTACAATTTTCGACTCTGATTGAAATTTTTCGATCTTTTTGGCCTTACTTTCCCATCACTACTTTACCGCCTTCTTAAACTTAAAGGTTCAGCAGCTTTGTTGGAGCATACTTGTCAATTCACTCACTCCCTCACTGCTATTTTCGTCGGAATGAAATATTCTTACGACTTCTGAAATATTCTCCTTTCAGTTCTACGTTACCGAAGTTCTACGTGCCCTGTCTTACGAAATCGTCCTTTAATTGTTGGGGAAAGGACATGGACTAATTATTGTAGTGAATTTAAAACGAATAATTAAATGAGATCAATTATTTTCCTCTCCAGGTTGATCAAGCCTCAGTAGTCCTACCCCGCTCAATGCTCGTTGAGCCTGCACTCTACCGGACTCAAATTGAAGCTTATAAGCAATGGATTGCTGCCAACGCACTTTTAATGAGCAGGTAAGGACATTACTTAAAAAACAATAAAGGACAAAAGAAAAGAGCTTTATGCAAAAACGACATTGTTTGCCTCTACCCTTATGAAACTCATTCCAACTTTGCACTTTTTGATCACTATCATATTCCATCTCTTCTCCTCAAAAATGTTCAGACGAAAGTTTTGGTCCTTGAACTTCGAATTTCTGCCAGGAGATCAATTCATGGTCATGCATCTTTTAGGTTATCTTTGCATTAAATGATTAAAATCTCAAAGCCGTTCCCAGTGGGGGNNAGGGGGGGGGGGGGTCGTCGTCATCATCATGATCAAAAGATCGACGCTGATCATCCCAATAATTTTAATGGATCGGGATATGGTCTATTCTTGAGTTTTTACCTATAATTTTCATATCAGCACATGCAAGTTTACAAGTATAAAAACAGCAACGGATTGTTTCACACTCAGGCTGCACTGTCGTGATGATCTACTTGCACCTCTGGAGATAATTTTAACCACATTTTGCGATACGGAATACTAATATTTACGTCTGTTTTTAGAAACAATACAAGTGCCCTTAGTTGCCCAACGTCGGCACTTGGTTTTATGGATGAGTCAGAAACAATAGTTCCTTATTGCAGAATGTAGTTCACATTGATAAGTATTTTTATATCACGGGTGGTAAAGTCTTCTCATAACCCCTCTTCTTAAGGTGATTCGATGGACGCTATATTTTGTGTCAGAACGGTGTGCGATATATCGCATCAATTGGTTCCATTTTTTCAAGTACTCGTCATTTTTCTCCAATTTTGAGATCGTAATTTTGTTGTCAGGAGACTAAAGCACTCACTTACCAATTTTAACAAAGAAATTCAACGTAGTAAAGGCGTGGTTTTGTTTAGAGAGAAAATACCGCATTCGAGTGCAGTTTCGATATCAGTATCGATGTTTCCTCTCTTAAAAAAAACCACGCCTTTATTACGTTGAATTTCTTTGTTAAAATTGGTAAGTGAGTGCTTTAGTCTCCTGACAACAGAATTGCAATCTTAAAATTAATTGGAGAAAAATGACGAGTACCTGAAAAAATCGAACCAATTGATGCGATATATCGCATGCCGTTCTGACACAAAATATGGCGCCCTTCGAATCACCTTAAGACACATTTATCTGTCACATCTGAGGAAACTCTATAGCTCCTCTCGTCGCTAAGAGGCTAGGATTCTTCGTGTCTGATTTTACAAATAGTATTTTCTATATGTATTGCCACAGGCACACGAAACAAAACGTATCGGTAGAGAGCGCTGTGATCGCCGCGGACGAGGTGGTGGCGCTGGAGATGGAGCTGGCGGCACTGACAACGCCGAGCGAGATGCGACGGAACGCATTCCGGATGTACCAGCCAATGACACTGCGGACCCTGCAGATGTGGACGGACACGGCTTCGGACACCTTCCGGGTGGACTGGGCCCGGGTGGTAGCCCACCTCTTCGCCGAGACTGGGCTCACCTTCGACCTCGGCGAGCGGCTCATCGTCCGCGAAATGGACTTCCTCTTCCACCTGTTCAAGCTCCTCGAGCGCACGCCCACCCGTGTCCTCGCCAACTACCTCCACTGGCGACTCGTCAAGACCGTCAGCAGGGACCTCAACTCAGAGGTGAGCGCCAGAGCCCCTTTCCGTAAAACTTTATCACAGAATAAATAAGCTTCACCAACAGAAGACTACAGCGTATCTCGGTCGAAGAAGAAGAACAGACTTTAGTCCGGAACTCGGATGACCTTCAACGCGGTCGGTTTGTTTGGCGAAATGCGCTCCTTCCTACCCCCCATTTTCTACCTGAACGCATTCACACGGCAACGATGCAGAGCCGCTGGAAAGTACAAAACGCGATACATTGGAGTAAACGGGAGTGAACCCTCTGTTGTTGTAGCCTATATATTCTGTGACTTTACCACGGTAACGCTGGAAAAAGAGTCTCTTTGTATCCAAAGTCTAGACTCTTAAAAAAATTGACAAGATAAATACTCTTGATTCAATCGGATTTTGGTTTGAATTAAATGGAAACCTGCTTAAATTAAGAGGGTTGGCTCGCAATTCAGGTAAGAATCCGATTGAATCAAGAATACCTCTTTCAGGTTAATTTTTTAGGAGTCTGGACCCCGGATCCAACAGACTTTTTTTCCAGTGAAACACGAAATTTGATATTGATGAAAGAGTGACCGCATGCAGTTACGTGACACAGTTCTCTAAATGAAAAATACTTTGATGGCTCCTTCAAGACTCCCCTTAGGTGGCAATGGTAACCATATTTTGCCTTTAGAATTCATCCTGGTATTTTCCGGTAATCCGCGGCCGGCGATAAACGTATATTAGTGCCTGCAAGACTGTAGGAATACTCCACGCACTGCGCCAAACAGTGCGGTCGACGCACAGTTCGCACAGCCCATATTAGCGCCTTCAAGACTGCATGAATACCTCTCGCATTGCGCCAAACGCAGTGCAGTCGGTCAGTTGGCGAGAAACGTATATCATCGCCTGCTAGACTGGGTGAATGCTGTAGGACTGCGTGTCATCACTCTTATACTTTGGCCATCGATATTTTAATTTATCATTTCCGTTAAAATTGTATCCAATTTAACACTACTAAAATATGTTCCGGATCAATTTTGTTAAACCTTCAATTGAAACCAAAAGCAAACCGATTCCAAAAAATTATCTGATTTGCATCCTTGTTCAGCAGTTATACTGACAATATATATATATGTTTGATTTATCCATCGACTACTTCACGTTCGTATATTTTCCAAACAGGTGTCGAACCTGGCGTTCGAGTTCGAGCGTGTGTTCACGGGCGCAGAGCTGGACGTGCCACGGTGGCAGGACTGCGTGGAGACGGTGACGTCATTGATGGGGTTCGCCGTGGGCTACAAGTACGTCAAACTCCACTTCGACAACGAGGCTAAGCGGACCGCTCTCCAGATGGTGGGCATCATGGAGGCGGCCTTCCTCTCGCAGGTCGACGCTCTGACCTGGATGGACGAGGAGACGCGCACGGCCACCCGTGAAAAACTCCTCGCCACTACTTACTTCATTGGCTACCCCCATTGGTACCACAACGAGTCGGCCCTCGTCGCCTTCTATCAGGAGGTCAGTACCATCACCTCATAGATACAATTTTTAAGAGCAGCCCAAGACAATGATAACAGTGGAAAAACAAGGATGAAAAAACGAGAAACAAGGTTAAAAATACACAATTAATGAAACCCGAGACGTTTCGACTCAAAACTGAGTCATTTTCAGTCGGAAACAATAAAAATTTAAAAGAAAAAACGATAAAAAAACCTGAGCCCTACATGGTCTCAGATCCTTTCTCTCAGGTCCCGGCCGCCACCATGTAGGGCTATTGTTTTCGACTGAAAATGACTCAGTTTTGAGTCGAAACGTCTCGGGTTTCATTAATTGTGTATTTTTAACCTTGTTTCTCGTTTTTCCATCCTTGTTTTTCCACTGTTACCATCACCTCTTGGGTCAGGGACTTAGAGGGTGGGTTTTATCGTTTTCGCTACCCAGTGTTATGGATAAGAGGTGGGGTGGCTCAGCAAAACATTGCGCACACTGTTAAAAAACTGAACACAGCGGTGTGTTCATTTGTGTCTATTGTTCTGAGATAGTAGAAATACTAAAATACCGAGAAGTCATTCTGAAGGCACTTGGTTTTTGAACTGTAATAACACTGGGGGAAAAAAACACATTGGATCTAGAGTCCAGATTCTTGACAAAATTGACAAGAAAAAATACTCTTGACTCAATCGGATTTTTGCTTGAATTGAAACGAAATCCGCTTAAATTAAGAGGCTTGGTTCTTGATTTAAGCTAAATTCTGATTGAATCAAGAGTACTTTTTCTTGTCGATGTTTTTAAGAGTCTGGACTCTAGATACAATGTGTTGTTTTTGTTTTTTGTTTGTTTGTTTGTTTTTTTTTTTTTTTTCAGTGAATGCTTACGCTGTTCATATTCGTTTTCACCACCTTTCTATTAAACCTGTGTATGATTTCAAAGGTGACATTGAAACTGTGTAAACAGTTTTTAAGGGTTGTGTTACGCAATTTTTAGGGGAATTTGTACGTTTAGTGAGCCAAAATGGATCTATTACAGGAAACGTAATATCGAGAGACCGCGTGTTTGGCATTAAGTGCTTCATACACGACCGCAGCATATGTGCCATTAGCAATGGTCAAATGAGAGGCGTGGATGTCATGGCGCAAAAGTGCAGCTTTTGAAAGAATTGAGATATTAGTGATTTCAACTAAATCTAGGTTTGAAATATTTTCTGTGAAAAATTCACTGGTAAATTTTTTTTTTAAGCATCAAATGTGAGTTTGAACTTTCTTTCAGAAGGCTCCACGTAATTTAGACAATTTAAACGCGCGTTTTGGTCGAAATAGCAAAAACTGCACTATGCGCTTTATCCCCCAAGCCCCTTAAATTAGTTTCTACTGGTTTGCAATTGAGATCTTTCACGAAAACATCCTTAACCTAAAAAAAAGTTTTTAAAATATAATATCTCTTTTTTGCAAAAGCTTTTCTTATTTTGCGATTACAGAAATTACCCGTAAGAGAGGCGCTCCGTTACGAACTTGAAAACCTCGGGAAACGGAAGCTTGAGGGAGGGTGATAATGTTCTCAAGTTCAAAGCACAAATGGAATCATTCAATAGTGCTCGAGTGCTGAAAAACTTATCTAGACGGCAAACGGCAAATTTTGAGCTAGAAACAGTATTCTCACGTGCCGGCATTGAAAAACGCCTGCTTTTAGCTGACTATGCAATTCTAACCGGGGCAAAACACGATATGTTGCCTATGCTACACGTTGAAGGCGCTTTATAAGAGAGACATTTAATATTGGAGTATCTCTTAGCAGCTGTAACGATTGCGATGATTTTCTTGAAACCTGCGGTGTAAAGAATGTGTAACAAGGACTTGACGATGGGTTCCTAACTTGAGAACTCAAAACATAAAATCTTCTGAAAGACGTCAGACTACAAAAATCGTGATGTTTGATCACAAGCCTTAGGTTTCAAATTAACGTAGCGTTTTTAGCTAAAGACTTTAGAACTCACAGTATTATCCTAAAGACCTATACAGCTTAAGGCTCCAGACTTAAAGAATCATAATGTTTATAAACTAGAAAATTTAGAAAATAATTGATGTGTTCCTGACTTAAGGTTTCGAAAATTACAAAATTACGTTACAGACTTACGACTTATATATTAATTCATTATTAATCTAATCTATATTATTAGTACTAATACCTTCTCTTTATACTTTTCTATAGAAAATGGTTTCTCGCTCTCTAGAGAATAGTTTTCTCTCCCGAGAGAATAGTTTCCCCTCCCAAGGGAATAGTTCCCCCTCCCGAGGGAATAGTTCTTTCTCCCGAGAGAATCGTTTCCTCTCCCGAATGAATAGTTTTCTCTCCCGCGAGAATAGTATAGTACAGATATCTTAATCTATTACTTATCTATTACTTATCTATTACTTATCTATGTTGATCGACAATTAAATAATCATGATTTTTAAGCAAAAGACATGTCTCTAAATTAATCACTGCTCTACGATTTCATTTATTAAATGAAGATTGTAGAACACCCCCGACTGTGACTGACAAATTGATTAAGACTCCTCATTAATGACTTAATGGACCTATTTCTACCAAACGGAACCATGTGCATTTTGACGCAAGCCCTGCCATGCGTATATTCTTATGGGTCTCAAGGCTCACGTCTTAATGCATATAGTTCCGTTGGGCAGAAATACGTCCAATTAACTCCGCGCATGCTCAGGTGGAGGTGAGCCGGAACCACCTGGAGAACGTGGAGTTGCTGAAGACGGTGCAGTTCCGGCAGATGGTGCGGAACCTCCGGCGGCCGATCGACCGTCTCGAGTGGCTCACGAGCCCGGCCATCGTGAACGCCTACAACAACCTCCAGATGAACTCGGTCATCTTCCCGGCCGGGATCCTCCAGCCGCCCTTCTTCCAGATGGACCGCACCCAGGCCCTTAACTACGGAAGCATCGGCGTTGTCATCGGACATGAGATCATGCACGGCTTCGACGATATGGGTATGATGATTTTCAACCGGTTTATCCATCACCCTCTCACACATTTGGACTGTATTTTGCAATGTGGAGCCATACATTCTGGCTCATCAGAAAAAACACATATGTGCATGGGGAAACTAATGGCACATACGTTGTTTTTAAACCGGGCCGGGATTTATAGTTCCAAATCGCAAAATGCAGCCCATTTGTGATGGCTAAATTGCGAAACCACGTACCTCCATTTATGCGGATTCGAGGGGACCGTGGAGAGTGAGCTCCCTCTCCCCCCTCCCGTTCACTAGAAAAATAGAAGGAAGAAAAATGGAAAAAGGAAGAAGGAAGGAACAGAGGAAAGAAGAGGGAAGGACGTTTGTATCTGGTAATTTTGTAGGATGGAATTGAATCGAACAGAATTTTAGATGCTTTAAAATTTTGAAAATTTTCTGGAAATGTTATGTTCTTTCTGTTCTTTTCTCGTTTTTTCCGCAGGATTAACCGTTGAGGAAATATTTGCAAAAATCTAATAGTGGGTTTCCTCAATTTTGAAAAATTCAAAGTGGCGGCGCCCTGAGCACCAGAATATTTTTCTGAACTTATTATGGGTATTTTCAAACTTCTTTAGCAAGTAAGAAACGAAAAAATCTGGTTAGTTCGAAAGGCAGAACCCATGTTGAGCGGTGTAATTCATATATTGTGATAACTTATTACTTCCTAAAGACCCATACTATGGAGTAGCGCAACATGGTGGCAGATCTCGTTCCTAGATTACTTAGACTTAGATTCGCCTAGATAAAATGACACAATCAAATTATGCCGACGTACTGGGTGTTACTAATACCTTAAAACTATAACTGACACCACGAAAAGAAAGCGTGCTGCAAAGTTGTACCTATGTCTTCATGTAATAAAAGAACAACTTAATTTGGGGAAAAGGCTGCAAAAAAAGAACAAAGAAAGAAGAGTCTCGGTCTCGCAATAACAGCGTAGTGACGGCTCGTTTTTATTTTTAATTTATTTTCCGGTTGAAAATGAAATTGTAACTATTTTGAAACGTTCCGGGTTTTGTTTATCCTTTGTTCTTTTTTTGCAGCCTTTTACCCAAATTAAGTTGTTCTTTTATTATGTGTATTTTGGCTGATTAAGGTTAATTTCAGTTTTCATGTACACTGGTCGCTCTCGAAACCATGATCATTTATTTTCCACTCTGACGCAGGTCGGTTGAACGACAAGTATGGGAACTTAGCCCAATGGTGGTCAGAAGCGACGATCCAGACGTATTTGCAGAAGGCACAGTGCTTCGTGGATCAGTACAACAGCTACCGGGTGCCCGAACTGGACGATGTGCTTCACACAAAGGCGACGATGAACGGCGTGACGACACAGGGTGAGAACATCGCGGACAACGGGGGCCTCAGGCAAGCCTTCCTCGCGTACAAAGCCTACGTCAGCATCCACGGGCAGGAACCCCGGCTGCCCGGACTCGAGCAGTATTCACCCGAGCAGCTCTTTTTCATCGCTTTCGCTACCGTGAGTTCAATAATTAATTTCCATCAACTTGGATGCATGTATGGACAGTGCTGCCGTGATATCAAAGAGAGCAGTAAGTGTTAAATTCTCGAAATCGAGTTTCCTTCAAAATTCGTCTAAACTCTTTTGGATGAAATCACTGAAATAGCTGAAACAGCAAAATTCATCTTAATTGTTTAAAAACGAGAAATGCAAGACAGCCGTAAGTGCGCAATAAAATGACGTAGTTTCAGGCAAGACAGGAGTAAGTGACATTATTTCTGCAGAGATCCAATGAAAACAGTCCTTTCAAGTAAAGTGCCGCACTCTCCTGCCAATTTCTAACCTGAAAATGCGTTTGTTGTGTGTCCAAAAAGCAACCACGAAAGCATGCTGAAGATAGCACTTACGGCTGCCTTGCCTACCAATAACCTAGTATGAAAATGCAAAATACCCTCTTTTTGTAATTAAAGTAAAATCAGTCGATTTTTTATCATCCAAACGATTTCTAGAAGTCTTTCGGACGACTAGTGATAATTTGAGAAAGAACGGAGGTTTCTTTCGATAAAATTTCCCGATCAGATTCTTCTGAGCCCGTTTTCTCATAACTTCATTTTTGCACTCACTGCTCTCCTCATTATCACGGCAGTGTGAGTCACATACAGACCCTAAGGATGATACACAAAATAAAAACGAATCAGGATGGAAGGAGGTTTTTTATGTAACATTATCACCTGCTATACATATTACTGAGAAAACAAACTCCGGCTCCAAGAGCCGCGATTCTGGGCTATGTAGCGCTACCGTGTGTTGAGGGTGAGGAAACCGTAAGTCCCACATTCAGGAACCGGAGTATCGGTGTCTGAGCCGAAAGCTCTTATTGCTACCCAGTTTAGAGGCCGTTTCTTTGACTCCTGAAAGCGGTACTTAAGGTATTCTCATCCGTAAAGTACGGTAGTGCTATATAGCCCGTAATTACAGCTCTCGGACTCGGTGCTTTTTTCTCAGTGTTGATATCAAGGTCCAATCCGAGGTCTGTTTTAAATAATTAGTTTTAAAACATGATTGAACACGCTTACACCTGATATAGAGAAGAGCCTCAACGAATTTCTAGGTCTTCAACCCACTTTCTCATCACTAAAAATCACCCGGAGAGGAGAATCTTAGTTATACGAACAGAATATTCCAGTAGGCGCTTTCCGGTTTAAAGGACTGATTCCTCAGTTTAGAGAACCGGTCGTTTCAGTTGATAAAAGTGGACGTCAGTTTGGTGAACCTAAGAACGTTCAACGAACTGAATGCGATCTAATATAAACACAACGCGCGTTGACGACGGCGCAGAGATACAATTATTTGTACTTCATGTATGTCCGTGTTGCATCTGCAAAGTTGAAGGCGCGACGGCAACTTTCTCGCAAATGTGTCAATATGCAACATGTTACATGTGAATCAAAACTTTTGGTAACCAAGAGCTGAATCTTTGGTTCACCTAACTGAAGCTCAACTCTGTCCAACCAAAGAAATCAGTTAATTCAACAGAGAGCTTAATCCTCCGAACCTAAAAATGCCTGCTTAAAGATTTGCTTTGTAAACCGAAGTATATTTTCTCCATGACAACCTTGGAAGTATTTTTACTGATCTGCGATTTTCTTTGCAGACGTGGTGCGAGAGCAACACAAAAGAATCCTTACTTCAAGAGATCCTGAGTGATCCTCACAGTCCGCACAGGTTGCGAGTGATCGGAACTCTGTCAAATTCTGAGGAGTTTGCCAAAGTCTTTAGTTGCCCTGCGAACTCACCGATGAACCCGACTAAAAAGTGCTCAATAATGTGAAGTACCTTTGTTTACTGTTATACACAGTGTGTAAATAGTTATACTAGTAGTGCACATTAGTGTGCCTACGAATTTAGACTGCAAAAACATTGAAGGGTCGATACGGTTGTACGAATATAATTATTGGCATGAAGATATGAGACAAAATTAAATTTTGAGAGTGAGTCTCAGCTGGACAATATATCATGAAAATTTGCCAGTATTTATTACCGTTTGATTGAAATACGTTCTCAATCTCTAAATCTCATCCGCTGCGATTAATTTTTACAAGATACCGGCCAAATTTTATTTTGTTTTAATAATAGGTGATATTTTTAGAATTGTTTGACCAAAATGTAACTAGATTTTGTTCAACTTTATCAGAGTTCAATGAAAATTATACATAAATGACCAGAGTTAGACGAATATGAAATCAAATTCTAGAATAGGCACATCTGAAAAAGTGATGAAAAGGTAGAATGAGCCAGAGTCGAATGGTCGATCATATTCCAAATGCCATTCTGCCAAATTATGTAGTTTCAAAAATGTTACAAGTAAGTGTATCCGTTCAAAACTGAAGTTTTAGCCGATTCCTTCTTTATAGTGACAAAGCATTGCTTAAAAATCCATAAGACGAGGTGTCCTTTCATGTGGTGTTTTCAGCTCAGGAACACTCAATTACTAAAATTAGCAAGTCATTCGTTCCGATTGCAGTTCAAAATTTCTGATATGATCATGCCAAAAAATACCGTATTCGTCGCTGCTGCATAAAAAACTGCTAAAGTTCAGGGTCTCAAGATAGAATATTATTTTATGTCAGCAGCACAATTTGTCCTCCATTTTAATGTACGTAAAAAAATCGACTCTAAGTTTGGCAGACTGCCCCGCCGAATCGACCGCATTGATATTCATAATAAATTTAAAATGAAGAAAACGTGATGTTATACGCTTGCAAATATTGCCACTAAGCCGCTTATGCCATGAGTTACGCATCTTTTCCACTAATTTGAGCGCATTCTACTCGTCCTGTCTTAATGGCAGTTTGAAGTATTACGTAACACTCTTTATCAGATTTTTACCCCCTCCCTCTTTGTAACGCACCCGTAATGGCACCCGTAACGCAGCCGTACGCTCCTCCCTTTTGAAATATGTGACGCTGGCCTGAACCGCCCCCCCTTCGAAAAGATTCAGTCAGTGAGTGCGAGATGTTCAATTTTTCGCACTTTTTTCAACCCCCCTCCCCCCTCTGCTCGGATTTGTTACGTAACGCGGGGCTTGACTCCCTCCCACTTATAACGCACCGTAACGCTGGCTCAACCCCCTTCTCCTCAAGGTGCGTAACGTAATACCTGAACAGCCCCTTAAACTAATACGAGTAAGGAGCGCGCTCCTATCAAGACCTTGATAACCACCATTACATTAAATTGGGGAGTTAGGACACCTTTAGATGGTCACCGATCTCAATTGGCGGGGGCAAGTGCGAATTATTTTGTTGAGCTAGTGAAGAGGAGGGAATTGTGTATTAGCTGAGCGAACCATGAGTTGAGAAAATTCGAGTCACATCGCGAAGAGATTACTGTGAACTCGCCGCTTTTGGCAATTTCGCAAACTTTCGTGAGACCCAAGTGAATAGAATCTTGTGATGTTCCCATGAACTTTGAGGTAATCGATTTATTTTCCTTTTCTCTGCCCCAAGACTTCGTCTCAGAGTACTCGTATGTGCCTACAACTGTAATGCAGATGAAACTGATAAGCGATCAAATAAATGTTTATGTCGGTTGAATTAAGCACGAATCGTTTTAAAACGGAAGAAGCAGTGTTTGATTTTGATCGAACTAATAAGGCTAAAATTTTTACGATGGATGGAAAAGGCAGTGACGATTCTAAATTATAAGTCACGATGGATTTTATCGCAATTCATTCACCTGCAGAAGCAGTATTCACGTTATTTGTAAATATTTTCAAAATTGTTTAGCTTTTTTAACCTGCTGTGATATAAAGTTAAGGACACTCAGAGCAGTGATAATTTATAATCTTAGGATATTGGACGGTGAAAGAATGCAATTTTTAATTCCTGATTCTTGCAAGAATCTGGAAACTTTTAAGTCAACGTTTATTGAGCGCCCAAAAAATTGGGCTGGATGCATTGATATTTTTTTCTTCATTTGTAAATACGGATTTTTTTCATTACTTTTGTAAAATATTGATAAAATGTACATACTTAACTTTAAGCTAGCGCCACGAATAAATTTTATACTAATACAGCACATTTTTTATTGTAAAAAATATTCCTTTTTTCATTTTAAATTTTTCGCTCCAGACTTGGTGTTGGTGTCTGTCACTGTGTACCACTGTAAGATAGCTGCAATTACGAGGATCAAGGAGAAACCCGAAGCAAGAACAACGAGCAGCTGCAAAATAAGCGTTTGCGTTACATTAAAAAATCATTGACAAGTTCAAAAGTTAGGTTAGGTTAGGTTATGTCGGGTGCGTGCCCCACCCTTTGCAGGGTAGTTTTAAGAGTCTAAATGAATGTTACTTTTTTATGAATAATGAATTTTGAATGGAAGGTTGAAATAGAGAAACGCTGGTTCTTAGTTGGGGCTCCAAATTAACATTGAGGCTCCATATTGGTCTGTTTGCTCCACGCAAAATGGAAGCAACACAACTAGGCGCGGCGTTGATCCGATCATAGCGCCTTGATACAATGATACAACTATTCGTGCTCCATGGATGTCCATGTTGCATATTCAAAAGTTGAAGGCGCTTTAATATTCTCGCCCACTCTTGTACCACGCTGCTGCTTTACGCTCCAAGGAAAGTAGAAGCATCTTGTTATTAATGATTTGAGAATTTCTGTCAATACTTTGCCTAACTTTGATTATTAGAGGAAAATGTAACATGGTGATCCATACAGATTCAAGGGAGAAAATAGTATGCACATTGACCAAAATGATCAATGAAGATGTCTAAGTATCAGATGTTTTCCAAGTTACAACGAAAAGATGTACCTACATCATTTGTGAGAAACAAGATCGAGTTATGAGGAAGCAGTTTACAAAAATTTACGTAATTTACCATAAATAATAGCAGTAAGTCCACATTATTTGGTGAGAGAGACTTACTTTGCTGTTATCTTGGGTACGATCTTATCGGCCAATTTCTAATCCAAAATTTACTTTTTTTGTTTGGTCAAAACTTGACCAAAGAGCTACCTACCTAGCATAAAATTATTGAGCCTCCACTGAAAAAGAAATTAAGGACTTACTAGTCGTACCGCACATTTCGGGCTCGGATGCTAAAATTTCCGGGTGTTGGACCCATTGCTTCGACTAATTCGTATTAAGTGGTCGGTGCAACGGGTTCGACATCCGGAACTTTCGGTCTCCAAGCCCGGAACGGACGGTATGTCTATACCTGCAGCCCGTTAATACGGTTTTTAAAGCTATATTTCCTTTTTTGATACCATTTTTTATTATAGAAGACAAGATTCGTCGATTTTTGATGTTCGGAACGAAGTTGAAAGATCTTCTTGTTGACTCTCAACAATTTTACAAGAAAAAATTAATTGGTACCGTGAAATGTATTGCTCAGGCGCTATCAGCGGAAGATTATTGAAATTATACGAAGCTATGGACAAAAAAGACAAAAAGAAAATTTAACGACCTTTTCGTGAAAGCGGGTGATTAGAGTGGACAAATCAGGTAAGTATTAGACTAATTAACGGCAACCCACGAGGGGTTCTGTATTTGGACCCCGCTAAGCAGAAAGGAAGCAATCCACATTCGCTATTGCCTTTAATTCGGCAATTTAATTTTTTACATGAAAATTGTTGTCCGGATTCCTGTACGAATTGCAGTGAATTTTCTGTATAGTGCAAAGCAAATCCCCTTAAGTATTCAAAGGAATCTGAACACACGATCTTTTGTAAAAAAGTAAATTTCCATAATAAATTTAGCAATAGCTGATGTAGCTTGGTTTCTTTCTGCTCAACGCGGTCCAGTTAGTCAACAACCTAACCATTATGATTCCTAATTTTTTCCTCTAGCTGTCTATCGATTTCCATAATCAGCCCGCAAACCCATTTTCTCAAAACTCAATTAACGCACTTACTGCACTTCTCCGTAAGACGGCTGAATGCAAATGGACTTATTTCATTCAAATGGGTCCAACTCTGCTGTGCGCTGAGGAGGAACATCGCATGAACATGCGAGAGTTGCCAAATTTTCTTCGATAAAATGCTTATTTTTAAGGAAAGCTATGCATATTTTTCTTCGAAGTTTTCAGGAGCTTCAGGTAAAATTGCAAACAAAATCATCTGAAAAATCGGGAGAAAAATATTCATACGTTCACCGGGAAATTTTTGTTTTATCAAAGGAAATTTGGCAACACCTGTAGGTTCATACGGCGTTTTTCCTTAGCACGGCAGAACTGTACTGCTGTGCTAAGAAAAAACACCGTATGAGCCTTCAGGCGTTGCCAAATTTCCCTTGATAAATCACTACTTTTCAGGAAACGTTTCGAATATTTGTCTACCAATTTCTTGGGTAATTTTTTTTGTAATTTTATTTGAAGTGTCTGAAAATTTCAAGGAAAAATATTGATACTTTTCCTTAAAAATGAACATTTTATCGAAGGAAATTTGGCAACTCTCGAATGTTCGTACGGCGTTTGTCCTTAGCACGTCAGAACCGTAACCATCTTCGGGATAATTCCTGCGTTACAACGAGAGACCATTGCAGTTCGTGCCGAATAAGACGCTTAATGAGGCGTACCCAGGCACTTAAACCTCAGCAATCGGACCCGCCGGGTCATTCTGGGAAGGGTTGACCCTCGCGACCCGAGAATCATTTTCCGGGTGAGAGGGGTGGAGGGGGGAGCGCCGCGGAAGCTCGGATGCGCGGGAAAAGCGCCACCGAACCTCAGTACGATCCGCGACGTTTTCCGGGCAGGTTCCGTGCTGAGCGCGTGGCGTCCTGTGAGTCCGACTCGTACGCGAAGTATCCGACCCGACACGGTTCGAATCCCGGTTTTTTCGTCGAGATTTAGCCGTGAAACCCTCGTTGGTGTGTCCTTTCCGGTTGTGGATTGTTACATTTCCGCGTTTGGATTGGTGCATTTCCGGTTTTGAATTGTTATTTCCAGGTGTGAATTGTTGGTTTACCGGGTGTGGGATATACAGCGTTTCCGGTTCCGGTGTGTGCGCGTGAACCGGTTCCGGTTGTGGTCTGTTGTTTTATTTTATGGTTTTTTGAATCGGAGTTTGTGGTCGTGTCGCTGGGTGGCGTTGAGGAGATTCGGATGTTGATGGTGAGTTTTTTGTGACTTGCATGCGGGGCGAAATTCTGTGCCACTTGTTGCGCGTGAGGGCTGGGGACCTTTTTGAAGGCTCGCTTGACCATTAGCTTTTCTGCATTTTGCGTTGCCCTGTTTTTTCTTATGTTATTTGTTTTGACGGTAACGCTACACAAAATAACGCCTTAAACTTCTTCGTGAGGAACCTTAATAAAAAGAATATTTTCAAAAAATTTCGAGGAGAATGATTGCGCGGCTTTGTGGAAAAAAAAATAAAATATGAAGGGGAATTAGAAAACTTCTAATAAAGTCAGACTGATTCATAGATATAGTCATTGCCGTGCATTTTACAGTTTGGAACCACATATTAATGCTGGCTCATTCATGGAAATACTGTCTGTACTGAGTAGATAATGCTTGATGTTAAAAGCTTCTAAATTAAGCCAGAAATAAAGTTTCTATTTTGTGAAATGCAGTTCATTTGAGCTGAATTTTGCACCAATGAAGTATTTTCAATATTGTATGGACTGTAACAGCTATTCGTCCTGCAATAAATTAACTTTGGGTATATCAAATGTACAGGGTAATTTCCTCATTTAATTAAACCATTTGTTTGCAAAGAATGTGAAAAACATTTTAAATTGTTCCGTTTTTGTGCAAAATAAAATAAGTTGCATCACTTAACCCTAGTCTGCCTGAGTGGGGTCAGATTGACCCCACGGGGGTTTCAACTCTTTGCCATTTCTCGTGGTATGCACGAAATTTTTTGTCCTTCACAGATAGGTCTACAAAAACATCTAGGAACACGATTTTGAAGGGGGGAAAAAAAAAAAAAAAAAAATGTGCACGAGAGATCAAAAAATTCACGAGTACCCCTAGAAAGCCTGAGCGGGGTCAGATTGACCCCGACGTGTTTTCCCTGGTGTATTTCACGTTTCATTCACAAAGACAGTTTTGAGGTTGTGTTCATGTTTTGAAAGGTTGATGTTTTGTGATAACAATATCTAGCATGTTTCATAAGCTTATTTTTACAAGAAATAAGTAGTATTATTACTTTTATTTCGTGAAAAACAGAGAAATTGTCAATCTGTGATTAGATGAACGTGTTCTTCAATCTAGTTGAGTTTTTTTTGAAGATTTCTCCATTTTTCTGGTTTGTATAACTCTGGCGCAAGCAACACACATAAGGTAAGCTTCAAAGTTTATTTCTTATTTTTAAAGTTTTCTTTATCGGCTTCCGAAGACCTATCTGTTTCTCCATCAATTTGCCAAGAATGGCATGTGGTATGAAATTATTATGTCAGTGATTCAGTGATAGCGGTACAGTGATAGTATTCAGTGATGTGCTTCATTTTATTTCAATTTGTGCTTGAATCCTGGTGAACTCATTTGAAGACTGGAGTACCTAGCATCAAAACTTTCATTCACCGATATGCCTACTGTATTGAAAACACTCCGTCCATCTCAAAACCTGTTTTGCTTCAATCTGAAAAGTCCCTATATTTTGTTTTAGGAAATGGCTCTGAATAATAATGCTATCTTGAATGCACTGGATGATTTTTTTAGGATAGCGACTCTTTTCAACTGTGTGCCATAAAAGGGACTTTTTCAATTTTTATTTTTAATTTTAGTTCCAAGACTTTTAGCTTTTTGTAGTATTATAAAATGTTTACCAAAACTTATTTCAACAATAAGTGCTCGATACCAATAAGGACTGAGCCAAAGTGTTTTTAGAGTAATATTATTTGGTGCCTTCAGTGTGCTTATTTTTGTATATTTTTCAATTTTTAACTTACCCACCGTAGTTATGTTACCTAATTTCTAGATATTCATAAGCTGAGCCCGAGCCCTCCGTACTTTTGTTACCTTCTACGTTTTATTTTACATTCCTCACCGTAGTTAGAATGTAGGTTCTCATAAATATGGTGCTAAGCTTATAACTACGTTTTAGTTTTTAGAGGTTCATTTCTTTTCTCTTATTCCTTATAACATATATTTTACCATTTAGCATCAAAAAAGCTTACTTTGAAGGTGTATTCATTTTTCTCTTTTTAATTTTTTTCCGAAACTTATAAAACAAGCAAAATTTTTCAGATTTTTCTCGTTTTCAGTATTTAGTAGCCCTATGATTATTTTTTTCTCATGCTGAGAGAAAATTTACCAAACTTGTAGTTGTCAAACTTAATTTAATTTTCAATTATATATGCAGTTTTTTGTTCAAAATTTACTCCTTTCTTTTTTTCTCTAATTTTAGAAAGAGAATATACGCCTATTTCTTGAAACAGAGTAGAAAGAAACAGAATGCATGTTTATTATGAGTCGGGTATGCAATTTGGCAACGTGTGTATTCAAGTGGTTGTTGCATACCCTTCAAGGCATCTTGTAGTCTTAGGCACTCCTTTTTTCAGGCACCTAAGCTTACTATGCACTGATATTATCTGAAAACATAAATAAAAAGAGCAAAAAACAAAAATATCAATATTATGCAACATGGCAACATATGTATGATAAAATGGTTGCATACCTTGCGCCGTGTTTTTTAAAACTTAGATATGTTTTATGGTTAAGGCCTGTGAGGTTAGTGCACTGATATTAACTAAAAACATGAAAAAAACATAGCTAACTAATTGATTTTCAGCTGGGGTCAAATTGACCCCGCTCAGGCTTTCTCGTTGGTTCAGAGGCTCAGGCAGACTAGGGTTAAGCAAGATTTTTGCAAAATTTAATTCATTTGCGGTTTACCAGCTGGCAACGACAACCTCTATGGTATATCCTTCGGTTCAGGCGGAAAGCGTCTAAGAAACTTTAAAGATGTAGCAGCCATGGAGGAATCTGGAATTTTGAAGCTTATTTTCTCGTTGTTCACGAAAAATACGATTTTATATTTTAAAATCGAGGAAAAATCAATGCTCCTAAAACATCCACATATTTTAAACAAGGACACCATATCTTGGACATGGACCAATAGAATAAATAAGGACTCCCAACTCCCTATACTACCCTGTGTTAAAAACCGTTAACGCGCGCTCGCAGCGAACCTGGCAGAGGGTGCGGTGAACTAACGCCGCAGCGGTCCACGATCGTACCTCTATAGTATGTTATTCCATGCAATGTTCTTTGTTTATCTATGATTTATTTATTTGTGTAGATACTTTAATACATTTTACTTTCGCAAACTAATGAAATTGTATAGATACATACCTTCGGCAGAGGTCAATGCGAAAGACTTTGATTTGAAGTATCTTATCAAAACACGAGCAAAGATGATTCAGTCAACTTCTGACGCAGAATCAAAGAGACTTGCTAATAATCAAATTAAAGGTAATGCTTGAAGTCAAGTATCTTTGATTTTGTGACACTCAGTTGATTTTTATCAGTACAACACTATTTCTCACTAAAAAGATTTCACTTAACAGAGAGGCGCCTTCGGCTAAAAGTACAATCCTGATTCCTGCTGCACACTACATATACACTTCCTTTGGCTTTCTCAACAGCAGTTGCTGCTGAGTAAAACGGTTAGAAATAACACTTCACATTAATACCAGTTTATGTACACGAAGACTGACGAAGATTGAAATGAAAATGGGAAACTTTTCACACTAAACTCTTCAAAACTGCAGGGCGACCACGAGGATACGAGGATCTAGAAACTTCTATGAGCACTACTGAGTGATAAGCCTAAATAGGTGGTGCATGGAAATATAAACAGGAAGACCCAATCATCGGTTTAGTTCACTACACCCTCTGCCAGGGAGCGCTGATGTCAGCGCTAACCGGAGTTGGGGGTCCTTATTTATTCTCTTGGTCCATGTCTTGGAATCGTAACTTTCAAGCGACACAATATTGTTAAGACTGGACACGACTCACGTAAAAACAACAACGCTCACAGTTTCAATATCATTGTAACTGATATAAACTATTGAGAAGCACAACTTGCCACGGAATATGAATCGTGGAAGGTAAAACGATTGCAGCGAGTTCTTATTCTTTTCTTAGTATGTACACCGTAACTCGCTTTGAGAGGAGTTCAGAACTCTTGAAGTTTGGAAAACAAACTCCTGACCTGAGCATACAATCCCATCAATTTGTCGCTGTCAATGATGGTTTCCGTCTGAATCAATTGACGAGTCTGAGTTGAACTGTTTCTCCTCTTGGTTTAAGGTTTTTTCTCGTTCTCGGATAAAGACTTGAGCTTCGAGGAAAAAATGAAAGAGAAAACTTAGATTGTTCCGTACTTTCATTCTTCTTTTGAACAGTATTACACGGAACTGGAACGATAATGAACTTTGATTCTAAACTGCAGAGTTTATTTAGAAAGCGGCCAAAAGACAAGAAAATAATAAGATGATCACATTTTGCGTTTAAAAATATTTTTCGCATCTCACGCGTTCAAGTATTTAAATGTTTTCTCAATTTCATGACTTCACTATATCAATATCATAGTATTTTATAGTTAAAAAAGCGTCGTATTATGAATCTCTAGACGCCTCGTTCCAACCGATGAAGTTTTGATCACAAATCAAGTAATGTAAATACGTCATTAATATTTGCATTCACTGCAGAAAAAACTATGATCTAAAAATATCTCATAGCGCATCAAAACAACATCATTCCGCAAAAATGTTTATGATCGCGTCGAAAGAGACGGAGGTGAGTGAATTGAAGGTGGGTTTTGTTGACTGAACCATATTAACACAGAGTTCGATCACCTGACATACTCAGAAAAACATGTTGATAATAATATAACATGAATAAAACGCTAGAATACTAATGTCCATATGGTTTTGTATGATCTACTGACCTCAAGTCCCTAGAGTCTCCATTACACCCCTCCCCCCACCAAATTCTACCTATATCAACGTTGAAATCAAGAAAGAAAAAAACATATATTTACACATGGATCATGAAGTTTCAAAATCACAACTTATCACACAGCAAAAAAACTCCAGGCTTGTGAATCATAGGTTCATCAGCAATTTTCGGTTCACAGAGTGAGTTGCGGGTGTCGATCTCTT